AATTGTAATTATTCGACATTAAGTTTGTCATTAAATTTGTAAAGCACATATATAAAATACATTTGATTATACTCTACATATCTTCGATGAGTAGCTTTAGTATCTTTCTTATACTGTAAGTTCCACAGAGCTCTTCAAGGAGATCAGATAAGTGGTACTTATTTGAGACAAGCTATATACAACTATATACTCGTATACAAAATGCTTATTTATTTCGAATAATAGACTATCCCACATTTTCCAAACGATATGAAGACTATCTTTCTTTTACGATAGGTATGAATATATTATACAGTTGCATCCTTAACATTTGAATAGGTTTCGTCAGATAAACATTAGTTTCGATAGTATGTAACTTGAAAAGTTATGATTATATAAAAAATTGATGATTCCCTTTCCCTTTTATCATAGAATCTCGAAATTAAACGAATTGATGAGAAGTTATTATATTTTATTGAAGGTATTGGTCATTGATTTCGAATTGATAGTTAGATTAGAATCCTCCGATGAGTGCATTTGAAAAATATTTTACTGGACACTCACCACACAATGAACACTCGAAAATCCCGGTTAAAAGATTAAACATTCAAAAATTTGTATTTTTTCTTTTTAATTTTTAACAAGAAGATGTCATTCTTTTATTATAAACATACGTTATTCTATTCCATGAAATACATTTATCCAAAATTCTTTTAATTTAAAAATTTAATTTTAAAAAAAATTGCATTTTTGTCTGGGTCTGAAATAACCGCACAATTATTTTCTTATATTGCCTGGGCCATCCGTATTGTCTTTATCTAATTATTTGGATTAATAGAGATCCAAATAATCGGTATTTAACTGTAAAACCAGACCTCTTCGGATTAGCTAGCAACTGTTAATTTCTGAACATTTTTGTTGGTCCCTTATCTATAAATGCAACAATTTCAATGCATTAATGCCAATTTCATGAAAGAGCAGCCAAGTTATATTTCTACGAATATATTGAACATATCGTCCTTCTAGCACCCATTCATCCATTTTATTTGTTTCATTTGATTGCATTGTCAAACAAAAAGCTAGTATAAGCTTGAAAAGTTCAACTGTAACTCAAAAACTGTTTTTTTAAACATTTTATTTTAAAGCCATCCACAATTTCTATTACCAAAACGTCTGTACAAAGCTAAAAGTATGTAATGCTTTATTTGGTTAAAAATGAGGCGGCTTGAGGCCACTGTTTGCTAGACTTAAGTGAACATACTCAGCAATTCAATTGATTGATCTTTTATATGCTCAAATCAAACTAACATTTCTGTCGATTCTCAGCTCTGCTGGACAGTAGTGTCCTTTTCCCTCAGCCATTAGATGGCCAAAGAGATGACTATACACGGGTACTCGTATATACTCGTATGTTTGTAAGTAATGGATGTGAGAGTTGGCGATGGACGGTTACAATTTGATTTGATTTGATGTGCGCCTACACGAACGCTATGGTGCAGGCATTTGTTGCTCTTGTTGTTCCTGCTGCTGCTGCTCTTGTTGTTGTTGCTGCTGTTGCTGTTGCAGTTGTTGTTAGCTGTGTTATGGCTGCTGTCGCTGTTGTCGCAACACATAATCGTAAAATTTCCAATGGAATGTGGCAATATTTTCGAGTGCACGCAGCTTCGAGCAATTTGCGCGTGAATTATTCCAAACGTTGCATTACAAATGATTTCTGCAGACCCCGTCGTCTTTAATTGGCCCAACGAGGAAGTCGTTGTGGCTTCGCCGCACAACTCATGCCAGCCAGCCAGGCGTGCGTTCAGCATTTTGCATGGTCCGACTTCGACAACGACAGCTCGACTTCAGTTCCAATCGCCAGACGTACGGAGACGTCTCCTTTGGTGTACGTGATGGAAACAAAGCACTCGGCGACAGGTACTTGTGGTCCAGAGTTGACATTTTGCTCAACGACCGGCCATAAAATCATATTCAACTCTTTTCGCTGAATGTCACACTTCAGCCGATTGTGGCGTACATACTTGTATTTATATACATATACGCACACATATGCCCGCGTGGGTGTTGCTGCCTTCCACCCAAGGAACGTCTCTATTATTGGCCCCCAACTCCACACAACATCGCGTGAAACATTTGCAAGCTTCCATTTAATTTCCATGGCCAATGCATAATGCGTTGTGTGTTCCCATTCTGCTAAGCCTCCATTGTTCAGTTGCGGCTTTTAGTTGGCATTAGCAGCGCACATACTCACTAACTATATACCTCATTAACTCATACAGTGGCTCCCAGGTTAGCTTCGAAAGTTTAACTTTCTACAATTGGACTACGAATCCAAGAATGGTTTATTCGATAACAAACGGGCCTTTATGCTTTGACAAATGAAAAACTGATTTTTACAACAGAAACTCCCACTTATAACAAACACATAAACATTTTTGTACAACCCTCTCAGAGCTTTGTATTAGAAAGAGTTGATGAACTAAAAACAGATCGTCTAAATCAATAGAGGAATTAAGTAGCAGAAGAAAATGTAAGAAATATTTTACCCCAAGGTTTCCCAAGTTTCCCCTGCGCCTCAATTCAAATTTTTAGCTTTGATCCAAAATATTTAAACACCCCTACATTTGCATTAATTTTGCAAACTTACAATCACAAATTATTCCTTTCTAAAGTCAGGAAAAAATACATTTTTTTAATCGGATAAATGTTTGTTCTATGTACTTAAGAATGTTTGATATACCACAATTGCTTAGAAAAAGTAAAGCAAATGAATCTAAACCAAAATCCAAAGAGTATTTTTTAAGGTTGGCTTAACTCTATCGTATACTATGTGGATTATCTGTGGCCTTAACATCGTTTGGCAACTGCTGGAAGAATTTCAGAAAAGCATTCAAACATTTGCCATTTTCTAATGCCAGACTATTGAAAACGAACGGAGATATTTTTTCCATCATAGAATATGCAGAATCTATGAGTCTATTTGAGTATAAGTCAATCGACTTGGTATTGAGTCCGACATTAAAAAACATTTTCAACTGATCAAATGTATTAGAGCTGTTACTTTGGATATCAAGTAGATTACATCGGCACTTCGCGCATAGTTCCCTACTTGTTAGACAACTGATCCTCGTTTATTTCAAAAAATTCATTCATGTTTCCGAATGACTTAAAAAAAAAAACAATTATTTAACAGGCTTCTGTATTTTAATTTATTTAATTTTAAAACTGTGATCCTATGATCAAAAATAGGAATCAAAAATTAGAGGCAATTGTAAACATTTTTGTTGTTTACTTAAATGTCTAAATATCCTTTAAATGGTTTTATGAAAAAACAAGATTATCTTAAGTTGGGTTTTAGCTTTCCATTAAAGCGATTACAAATTTTCATTTAAACTAAAGCAAAGCTTTTAAAAACTATAATTTCTAAGGAATAAATTATAATTTCATTTGGGATTTATAGAATTTTTGAAATTTCGTGCACTTTCTAATTCTGTTTCAGACCTAAAGGAGCAAAGAAGCTTCGTTTGCAAAAATCGGGTTTCTTCTGAACTAAATGAGATACAAAAAAAATTAAAAATTAGACCTGATCAGTCTCGATATATTATCTGTATTTCTGCGTTATAATCCTAAAACTGTGATGATTGAAAGAGACAGACGAAAATCGCAATTTGGACTCCTCTCGTCATTCTTCCGTCTGGGTGTTACAAACTTGCAAACCAAAAAAAATTTAAACTTTATAAAGGCAAACATGTAGAATATCCTTGTTTAAACATTTCTGCTTTATGCAATCTTTTCTTTAAGAATTCATTATCAATAAGTTGCTCAATTTCAAAATGGGTTTCCAAAATTGTTTTGAAATTAGAATTGCTGCCTAAATGAAACCAAAGACTGTATTAGCTTGAAGCCACTGTATACTTATGTATGTATGTTTGTATATTTGTATGTATGTAAGTATGTTTGTATGTATGTATGTTTGTTTGTATTGTTGCAATTCTTGGAAGTTAATTTCATTAAGAGCAACTGGCAATGTGTGGCGTATTTATTAGCCACACGGTACATGCATGCTTACATAAATATGTACATCTATATGTATGTATGTATGTATTGAATGGCTGACTGGTTGTTTTTTCAAGGAATCCATGGCTGCGTCGCAAACTAGCTTTCATGCATTTGTGGAATTCATCATTCCTGCACTGAAGCTCGCCGATGTCGTCGCCAGCCGTTGCTGTTTCTGTTTCTGTTGCACGCGGCATTTCCCCTGAGCGGCGGCAGCGGCCGAGCAGCGCGTTTGTTGCAATTTTCATAACTCATTGTTGGCATGCATGTACATACATGCATGCATATGTATGTATGTATATGTACATACATAAATACTTACATGCACACAAGATGTGCATATGTAAGTGTTTGTGCCCTGCCGCGCTAAATAAGGTGAAAATTTCCTTAAGAAAAATTACGCGCAAGTGCGATTTCCAGTTAATAAAATTACCAGATGATGGCATCCTCTTCCCATCCTGCACACACACACACATGATGGGGTTGAGCTTCCAGAGCCCTAAGCTATGCCGCAACCGCTGGCGAGACGTCAGTTGTAAAATTCTTATTAATTCTTATCGCAAAACTGCGACGTTTTTTCTATACCTGATCGGTGTAACATCTGCGACATACAAACATGCCTACATACATACATACATATGTATGTATGTATATGTGCATAAAGTATACAGACTAACACGCCCATGGTGTGGCTGCATTTGGTCTGAGCGACGCCGACAAGTGTTGTACACGCATTCCAAATAGTTTTCCATCATTAGCGGCTGTGCACGCGCAAATGTCAGAGCGCTGGACAGAGCCTGCGGTTGGTCTAGGAATGGGATGGGTTGGAGCAGGCAGATCTGCTTATAATGTACATGCATGCATACATAAACAGACATATTAGACTTCTACTTAACATAGCCAGCCAGTCAAGTTGAATGAATTATACAAATTTGTGTTTATTCAACATTAACTTATAACCTCCCTGCTGTTCGACATAAATAGCGATAAATACATTATATAGCAAGCAGCTTGACAATCTCAAAACACTAATGAATTACAGATCGGTTACAAACGAAACTATATAAACATTAACGGAACTAAAATTTAAAGTTATGCACAAAAAATTCGTGTGTTTGAGTATTCCATTTCGCAGATGGGTCTAATAAAAAATACAGTAGACGGCAATAAGTAGAACAATAACGCCGCAAATAAATAATTTGGGCTTCAGTTGGTACTCCCTATCGACAGCCTCCCACCAGCGAAGCCAGCTGGCCTTGTCGGGGCGCAGGGAACGACGCACTGTGGGCTCATAGCCACCTGCACCTGTGCCGGCAATGGTGCGTCTGGTGTACGGGCTGCCTCGGTCGCCAATGCGCTCGGCACGTAGACGCGCCAGGTTTCGGGCAAAGTCGCTCTCGAAATGAGGGCCCTGATCGCGGGGCTCGTCAGCTTCATTGTCGTCACTAAACTCGTTAGTGTAGGTGCGCGGCGGAGCACGCCCATAGCTGGAAGTGGGAGCTGGAATGGCAGATGAAGTGGAAGTGCCTGCAGCATAGCTTTGAGCTGGCGATCCCAAGTAGCTGCTATAACGTCCGCTGCGACTTAAGCCGACATAGTCATACGAATTGGATACCAATGGAGGACGAGCAGGAGCAGCCGGACTAGTAACGGATTGCGTCAGCATAGCCCCCGTTGTTGCACTATCCCCAACAAAGCGACGCGGTTGGCTCAGTGAGGATGGCGTGTACGATGAAGGCGTGACATACGCAGACTTGTCGATGTATTCATGAGTGCTAGTCACGGTTGCGCTCAGCTTTGGCTTCTCTTTGCGCTTAAACTCGTCCTCGATGTGTTGGGCAGCTTGCACCAATTGTTCATCCTCCTCGTCGTCGGATTCCAGGACGATCAGCGAATTGGCCAACAGGGTATTCTTGCTAGCAGTGCGTTTCGCAGCAACTACAGGCTCTTCTTGTATGGTCTCCGGCTTTTTGGTCGGACGCGCAGAGGTCACGTTTTGGCGCTCAACATTGGTGCTGGAACGACGACGCGCCTGTATGGGAGCAGGAGCCGGAGCCGGAGCAGTCGTTGCAGCTGTTGCCGTTGTCTTTTTGGCATTCTCGGAGAGAGACTGCGACACGGGCTTTGTTGAGGGCGGACGTGGACGTTCGACATCTTTGGAAGTGCGGTCACTTGTTGCAGCTGCAACTGCAATGGTGCGACGAGCCTTGGGAGTGCTCACCTCTGTCTGTGGAGCGTCCGTGTTGTGGCTGGTGACAGCATCTGTCTTGGTTGCTGCAGCAGCAACATGCAAGGTTTCGCGTCTTCCTGCTTTCTTGGGACTCGCAGCAGCCGGCGACTCGACCCCGCCAATCGAAGCTCTCAAACGTTTGACCAACACCTTGCGACTGCTATCTGTGACGGGTATATTGGGCAGTCCCTGCTCCACCATCCTTTTTCGCAGTTCCGCATTGGATAAGGCATCTAAATTGTCGGCATCGGCCATAGTTTCCAATTTCCCAGTCACTTTTCACGTCGTTAAAATTGAAAGTCGCTCCGCTTCACTTTTTTTCGCGGTGCGCGCTGTTTTTAGAGTTGCTCAAGATATTATCGAAGCAACGCACAATATTCCAATATATCGATGTTTTTAAATTCTTAACCAACGACATTACATTTGCAAGTTATGTCAAATTCAAAAATCATATCAAATTGAATAATTTTTAAAATTAGCATTTCCTCTACACTAGACATTTTTAATTATGCTACAACAAATGTGGAAAACTTTTATAAATGCGTGTATATGTGTGTCTATTGTTCCATTCGATTTTGAAAGCAATCCCAAACCATTCTATTTGCATATTTTTTAATTTAAGATACTTTGACTTTGACTTGCTTATTTCAACTGATGGTTCCTTTCCTTTCTTCTTGTAAAATATTTAAGCTGCATTTAGCATCTGAAAAACCATCCAAACTCTTTAAAGAAATAGTAATCGATATTTACCAGAATGGAGATGCTATCTTATTATTAGTTGCCAGACTTAACAACATATTCAAATAAAATATAGCGGTGTGGCAGCTATGATAATCGCCTATAATATTCCGAGAGGTCTGGCAACAGCAGTAATGACAAAACGCTTAACAACACTTTACACAAATAACTAGAAAATATTAGTAATAATAAGCGGATAAGTAAACATGGATATATCAAAGGCACCAAATCCTAGAAAGTTACAACTTTGCCGCACATATTTTCTTAGTAAGTAGCGCTACCGCTATCATTTGCACAATATAAGATAAATGCAACCATTTCCCCTACAGCTGGTTTTGCTTTCCTGCCTTTTGTGTGGGCGATTAATGTTTGCTGGTTCTTCAACGAGGCCCTTCGGAAGCCCCCATTTCCAGAACAGAGCCAAATCAAGCGCTGTTAGTGTGAGAAACAGTTGATTCATATCTTTTGCTAATTCTTGCTTTACATTCAGATGTCTTATACTCGGCCATTGGTACGCTTATTTGGCTTATAATCCTAATTAATTGGATCATCATATTCCAAACTAATCGCGCAGACTGGGGCGCCACCGCTGACTATATGAGCTTTATAATACCCCTGGGTAGTGCTTAGTAGGTAGACTAGATCTCTTTAAAATAAGTAATATGTACTCAAAAATAAAACTAATGTTTTAATAGTATTATACCTGTCAGCTGTAATATATTCGATATCAGTCGATGATATTCCACATCTTCAGCAGATTAAGTAATTTAATATTTCAATTGTCCAGTATAATAAAATTGTTAGCACCATGCTGAGGGACTCCGTATCTAAAAATTTTAAAGTTGTATTTGTCCAGATCTGTTGAATTTCTAGGTATTGCACGTCTTAGCCCTTCAACCACTCTGGCTACAACCCCTAAGGAAGCACAGATTGGGAAAAATGAATCATTTTAAAAATTTTGTTTAATTACATTTTTTTTATTCACATCTAAAGCTGATTTTCATTTATAATATATATATATATATATATTTATTTGTATGTAGTTGTTTTTTTTTTTATACTTTAAATATGTGTACTATATTTTTGAAATTTCTTAGCGCTAATTATGCAATTTGTTCAAAATTTTAAGATTTTGTTATGAGTTTGTGTGTGGTGTGTGTTGGCTACACGCTTTTATTTGGCCCTCGCTTTCTCTGCTCTGCGTCACACGTAGCATCTGTGCGGGGCTCTGATCTGAATACAATTTCATTGTTTAGAATGCCATTTAATTTATGAGTTGCTCTTCTTTAAAATATATATTTATATATGTATTTATAAAAATCTCTTGTACTTTTTAATGAACTAAGCTGGTATTTTGTTTTTGTTTTTTTTTTGTGCTCTTCTTCCTCATCTCTAGGAAAATTTCCATTTCCTTCAAATTCTTCACTTTAAGTTGACTTTGTTGATATTTTCTGCACCACACAGGGGAGGCGACAAAGTTGAGGGTGAAGTGAGGCGAGGAGTGTAAGGAAAACACGCGCACAGTTGCTACACATGTACATAGTGTTAAAGTTGTTTTTATATTTATTATTATTACTCGTTTGTTATTGCAATTACATGCATACATAATGATTTTTATGTTTATAGCTTTGCTCAAATGCGCTCTCTCTATATACTTTCGTGGCGCACTCGATTATCAAATTTACAATTCAAAAGACTCGCTCTAGAGTATATTTACATGCAATACTTTTTGTTTTTGTTACTTTTTGTTTAACCGTAAATTCCTATCGAAGTTTGTTTGTTTGTTTGTAATGTGTGTGTATGCGTTTGTCTGCCTTACTATACTAAACATTAAGTGCCATACTTGTAAATCACGCGTGTATGTGTATGTAGTTATGAAGCGGCTAGGGAACTACACACCTACACACCCACATTCACATGGAGAATCAATTAATTACATATACATATATGATACTGTATAACTGTATTTATGTAGTATGTATTTATATATGTATAAATATTTAAAGTACAAGTTCATGCCTACAAACATTTAAATAAATGACAATGCGTCGCGAAAACTCACAAAAAAATAACTTAACCCTTACAATGCGGGCGTACCTTCCTTGTCTTTTTCATTTCTTTTTTCTTGCTTTTTTATAGTTTTTTGTTTACTGCTATGCACAAATTAATTAAATTGCAGCTCCAATCGCAACACAGCTGATACATTACATAGTAGATTTATAATAAAAATAATTTATAACACGTACGTTCATACACACGAAAAGTCTATGTTTAAAAATGCGAACTTCTATTTGTATTTCGTATGCATATTATATTCGTAAATAGTGTGTAAATCTAAATAATATAGTTATTTTTTACAAAAAAATCAACACTACAATTTCGATTTTGTTCATGCTCGATTTACGCCTCTCGGTATGTGATAAATATATCTATATATTTATAAGTATATGTACTTTTTGTATATGCAATACACTTAGAAAAAATTGCTAAAAGTATGCTTGTTTTTGTTTGTTGTTTCCATGTTTTGTTTTAAATATTTGCAAGTGGTAAATATAATTACGAAGGTATGTGTATGCTAAACATGTATGTATATTTTACGCATTTATATGGTAGTAGGTTGCGATATAACTTAAAAACTAGAATTATAAGTAACACGTTAAACGAAAAATACAAAATTCTTATGCGTTTAAATAGTGTTGTTGTCCTTTGAAGTTTTGTTTTAGTTGTGTTTCTGTGTTTTTGTTTTTGCTCTTCCGGCTTGTTGCAGCGCTTTATCATAGAAATGTATATACATACATATACGTGTATATAGTAGTTGAAAAAGACCATATGTTTCCTAAATTTTCATTGTGCTCCTTCATGGGAAATTGACGCACATTTGCTGCTGCAACAAGCCTCGCTAGTTGTTCTTTACATTGTAGGTCTTCTTCTCATTGTTGTTGTTCAGTTGTTCTCATTTCGACGGTCCCGGCGGAAATGGATTTATCACAGCTACAGCAGCCGCCTGTTGGCTCGCTAGAACGGCCGCTAAAAATGAAAACGAGACAGAACTTTAGTTACTTTCTCAAAGGAATTCAAAGATCAAGGGTCGCTCACCTCCATAGGGCGCCGGGTACATGGGATAGCCGAGACCAACGTGGGTGTGATGGTGGGTGTGGACATGTCGTTGCGGCGGCGGACTGCGTGAATCGGCGGCACCAGCACCGCCAGCACCACCATTGCCTCCCGGGCCGCCCACACCGACGGCTCCATTACCCGGTGGCCCGCCCGCGGGTGGTGGACCCGGCAACGGTTGTTTGTGCGCATCGAGGCCAACAGGGGCATTGGATGGCACCCCATGCTGTTTCTGGCCGGCCATATCAGATTTGTTGGGCGGTGGACCACCTAAGCCACCGGGTGGTGGCTGCAGGCTGAGCGGCACACCACCTTGGCCGCCGCCAGCGCCACCTGGTTGATTTGGCCCATTGCCTCCCAACACATTGGGACCGCCACCAGGTCCACTATTCATGCCACCCCCGGGTTGAGGGGGTCCTGTGCTGGGGCTCGATACGCTGACCTTTACGGGGCCGCCCCCACTGGTCGGCGACTTGAGCGCCCGTTCACTGAGCTCATGTATCTTGTGCGTGGTGTAGTATTGGTTGGCGGCATGATGCAGTGCATCCAGCGCCTTGGTGCCAGTATTCCGCGACAGATCCTCGGGGGCGTGGTAGCGCGGTATGGGCAGATGGTAAGGTGGCGCATTGTAGGGCCCGGCGGCGGACATCAGGACATTGCGATACATGGGTAGATTGGGGTCGAAGGGACCGAAGGGTGTGGGCGAAATGTACGGCGGATGTAGGAAGTACTGCGATGTGGGTGGCGGGGGCGGTCCTTGTGTCTCCATTGTTGGCTTCTGACCCTCTTGCTTCACCTTCAGCTCCTCCTCCGCCGCTGCAGCTGCAGCAGCCTTCTGTTTTGGCGATTCCTTGGTCAGATTTGTGGCCTTGTTATTGGCTGCATTGCTATTCGCCTGCGCCTGTGCCTGCTTCAGTTTCTGTTGCTGATGCTGCTGCTGTTGTTGCTGCTGCTGCTGCTGTTGTTGTTGTTGTTGTTGCTGCTGCTGCTGCTGCTGATGTTGCTGTTGTTGTTGCTGCATGTGCTGGTGATGCTGTTGCAATGCCTGCTGCTGTTGTTGTGCAATCGAGAGCTGTTGCGACTGCTGTGGCGACAAACTGGACTCATCCTTGTGCTGTCCCCCGGGCTGCTGTTGCAATCCCGAATTGGGTCCACCGGCAGCAGCGGCGGCTGCGTTCTGGGCAGCAGCGGCTGCAGCTGCATTCTGACGTCGCTGCTGATCCGAGAACATATAGTAGCTGCAAAGGAAGTGAGGGAGGGAGACGTGCGTGAAAATATAGTATAATTAACATTTATTGCTACTTTGGCGCCCTGGGAACTAATTAGATCTTTAACCTCAGCAAGAATTTCGTTAATTCTGTTTTTTATTCAGGTTTTATCGGAAATTTAACTTGAATCTTGCAATATCAACCTCTTAGAATTGGTTAATGATTGAACTCCTTTGTTGGAAACGAAAAAAAGTTATCTATCAGCCTAATCTTCCTAATCTACTTTTTATCATTATTTCACAAACAAATAGTTCCTTGTATTGCTCGCGATGGAAGAAGGTCTTAATCTATGAGTCATTAAGTAGTTCATTCGATCTGAAAACCCTACTAGTTTCTCTGTTTGGTTAGGTAGACTGAATTATACTTCATTTTTCCAACTTTTGTTTATAAATTGGAGATCTTCTTAAAATGCTTCTTTCCTTAGCTATACTTTTCTACAAAAACTCATCAGAAGCTGTCAACTTTCTGTCCCTTTAAGTTTTTCATAATAATCGCTTTCATAATAATGAACCCCAAATTGAATTAATAGGATCTGTAGGATATTTAAATTATCATCAACAATAGGTCTGAGAATTGTTTTCATAAATAAAAATTGAATACCCCTCTTGAAGGAGTTACATTCTGAGTCTCAGCGACAAAGATTATTTCTTGTCTGATAAACAACAAATTCTCGAATGGCCTCTATATTCCCCAGAAGAGTAGTTAGTAGTAGGTAATAGTGCCTACCGTCGCAACTCCTCCTCGCGCGCTTGCTGAGCGGCCGCCAGACTCATGGAGTGGCGCTGATAGAGACTCGGATAGGCGCCCAGTGCCTGCAAGTCTTTGGGATGCAGTGCGTGCGGCTGCTGAGGTGGTGGCGCTGATTGCTGTTGTTGTTGTTGTGATGGTGGTCCCTGTTGACCAGGATTAGTGTTTGGCTCCTGCTTGATCTCCTGTTTGATCAAAGGCTCCTGTTTGATCAGCTTGTTGGCCATCAACTGTGGACAGAGGAAGTCAAACGTTGATTAAAATATTTGCGAATTCGTTGTGATTCGATGAGACGTACCTGCTGCTGTGGTAGATGCTTTGGATTCTCATGTGGACTGGGACTCTCCTTTAGACGTTCTTCTTTAATGGTAGCCGTTGGCATTTGTTGACCCATACTCTGAGCCTGCGAGCTGGGTGGCATTCCGGGATGGCCACCCATTTTGGCAGCCTCTTCCGACGCCACAATAGACACAGGTCCAAAGTTGGGATCAACATTGTAGGGATAGCCCGGGGGTATGTAGCTAAAAGAATAAGAAGGTATGCTTCTAATTAGTCCAATTTCAATCGTAATACCCAGCACTCAGTTCAAAAGAAAAGCTTAAGTTCGGGAAATCTTCATTCATACGTGAAATCGGAGGACACTATTACAATTTGCAGCCCTTAATATTATTTTATCTGTGGATGTAATCAGAGCTTAGCCCATCACTTTTCTTTCATAAATGAATCCTAAATTATGTAATCGGAAAGCTAATAAAAAGGCCTTTACAAAATGTATTTAGAATTAAAAAAAATTTTAATCAGTAAGCCTAGAGATGTGATTTTCGCACTGATTTCCCCTATATTTACTTTTAATATTTAATATCATGCATATTTTTAAGGGGTTTTCCTCAATATTCCTTTCACAACGACTTTTTTACTCGATTTTAATTTATTTAAGGTCACTTTTCGAATTTAATGAAATTATTAGCAATTGGAAAATGTTGGTAATTGGGAAAAATAAATGAGTTATTTGATTTCAAAACTACCTATGCCGAAGACTATAAAATTAAAGTAACTGAATTGAGAATATTTCGCACGATGTGATTGGAATTCGATAATGGTGTAATTTTCTAAGCCGTATTTGAAATGGATAGACGATGTTTTGTGTACCCATGAATTTCTTGTCTACTTCTTAACTACCAGAAGAATTATGAAATACTTATGTAATTCCCAGCATCTTTACTTTTCGCTTTACTTTTGAGCCGAGTGCTAAGCGTAGGGTGTTCGAAACTCACTTGAACGGATAGAAGTGTGACATGGGCTTGGCCGGCGAGGGTGCGGCCAAACCTGCCGCGCTTAGAGCCGAGATGCCACCCAAACCAGGTGGCAGGCCGCCAGGTGGGGGTCCAGTCACTGCGCTGAGATTCACTGGCGGCGGCTGTTGTTGTGGGGCCTGTGAACTGGGTGTGGGTGTGGCATCCTTTCCGTTGTTCTCCGACTGTGATTGCGTTTGTTGGCCTGCCTGTTGCGGCTTCGTCATCAGATCTAGCGGTGGATCTTTGTTCTTGTTGCTGTAGTCGGTCAGATGGGAGACCGCCTGTTGTTGTGCCGGCAACAAATGCGTCTGTGGCTGTGAGGAGGTTGGTGCTCCAGGTGCCAATTGTTGCGCCTGCGATGCTGGCAACGCTAATTGTGGTTGCCCCAGCGTAGGCGGTAGCCCCGCCTTGCCTGACTGCAGGGGATCCCCGCCCGATTGTTGTACCATATATTGTTGCTGTTGCGGCGGATAGAATTGATACATGCCGTAGCCGCCAAGCGAGGGCATCGACGGCGGTGCCCCACCAGCGCCCACTCCTAGAGCCGTTGGCACGCCCACTTCGGGTGGTTTCTTGCTCAGTAGATCCATGTGCTTGTTGGGCTGGCCCGATTTTTCCAGCATCTCTTGGTCGGCGACTGGCGTTGAGTCGTCCGATATATCACTATACGCCGGGGACTGCACATCCTCGCGAGATGCGCTGCCATCGAAATCACCTGGACCGGGCGATTTACGATTCTTTTTCTGTTTGCTGCTTGCGACTGCCGAAAAGGCGGGCGAAGTCTGTTTGCTGGATAGGGGTATGCCTTGTGCCTGGGCGGCCAGCTGCTGTGGTGTGCCGGGATAGCCACTTGGTGGTTGCTGTGCCTCAACATTAGGCGGCATCTGATGCGTAACTGGTGTAGGACGTAGCGGATTCTGTCCCGGTTGCAATGCATTTTGCTGGGCAGATTGTTGTTGTGTCGGCTGCGAATTGGGCGGCTGTTGTTGCTGCTGCTGCTGTTGTTGTTGTTGTTGCTGCTGCAGAGCAGCTGCCATTGACGTGGCCGCGGCACCATCGGGTGGGCCGAATCGCAAGACACCAGCTTTCACTACGAATCAAAGAAATGGAATTAGATGGAATTTCGAAAACATGTCTATTTAGTAACCACTTACATGCACTTTGCTGCAACAACGCTTGCTGCTGTTGCTCGGAGAGGAGCGTCGGTAGGCCAGTGGCGCCAACCAGACCGCCTAGCAGTTGCTGTTGTTGTTGCTGGGAAAGCGCCTGGCTGGAGATGCCGGCAGTTATGCTGCCACCAGCAACTGCTGCATGTGCTGGTGTTGGAGACGGCAGCACGACGCTCGGATTGGCTGCGCTGGGGGTCAGAAGCGCCTGTTGCGGCACTTGTGGCGCGGAGTTGGCCACCACTGTGCTCGGCATGCTCGGATGCGTGGCTGTGGTTGCAGAACTAACCACCGGAATGCCTTCCGTTGCTGGCTGACCGCCAGATGTGCTGTTGGGTCCAGTAGGTGGAGATGCTACTGTTGGGGCAACTGCTGTTGATACTCCTGCTGCCGTAGCCGATGTTGTGCTTGCGATCGCCGCCGTTGTTGGCTCGGCGGGGGGAACAGATGAGGCGCCAGCTGATGATGGTGTTGTGGGGACATTGCTGTTGCCATTTGTGGTAATAGCAGCGGCATTGGGGGTGCTGGGTGTGGAAGGCGCTGCTGCCGTGGGTACTGATGGCACCGGTGAGGGAGGCGTGGGTGGCTCCTCTGGCGCCTGCATGGAGTCCTCGTCCATGGAACCGGCACCGCCGTGCGCATGCGACTGGTGATAGCGCAACCCATTGGCATGCTTGTACTTCTTGCTGCAGTCCTGCTCCGGGCACTCGAGCAGCACCGGCGAGATCGCACAGGGTGAGGCAGTCTTACATTTCTTTGTGTTGATTTGCACATTTAGTCCGGTCACTGGGTTGAGCAGGCTCTGGGGCTGTGTGGCCAGGCCACCGCCGCTGGCCGAGATGGGTATCCCACTGGCGTTCACCATGCTCGTTGCGGCAGCATCTGACTCGCCATTGAGTGGCGATGGCGCCTCATCCTTGGACTTGCGCTTCTCTGGACGTGGCGGCAGAAATGCAGTTGGCGAGGTGCTGGGCGTGGCTCCGCCACCATTGCCCGAGGAGGAGCTGCTGTTGGTTGCAGCGTTGTTGCTGTTGTTATTGGAATTGCCAGAGGCGCTGCGCGTGGCGCCACGTCCTTTGGTCGCTCCATTGCGCAGCTTCGAGTGCACCTGAGCGTGTGAGAAGTAAATCTAAAAGCAGAGGGAACAAACACAGTAGAAGCAAGACCGTTTGGGGATGGTGGTTGATTACTCACAGAGCTTCTGGTCTCGGTGAAGTTGCTCAGGTCGGGTGTGAGACCAGCACTGCGTCCGCGCTTGCCGCGTCCCTTTGGAGTTCGAGAATCTAATTCTTCAGTTGGTGAATCACAGAATCTGAAAAGCATATACAATTTTTGTTTTATTTCCAAATCTGTGCATTGCTTTCTACCACAGACAAGGAGGAGGTAACTTTTCAAACTGTTTCCACACACGAGGAAACCAAACAAAAGAGCAAAAATCATAATGTTTAAAAGACAAATGTATTTATTGTTCATCAAATTCCGATATATCGCTATAATCTAGACTAATCTTGATAAACCACTAACTAAAAACTTGAACACGTGCGGTGAGGCTGACACATTTTTATTTGTACTTCGAAACAGTTTGAAAAGCCCCCGAAGCTGGACCCAATTTCTCTCACTCACCTTGGAGGAGCCCAATCGTGGCGCGTACAGTCAAGCAGGGTGCCCACGTAGGTCTTGCCGCGCCACGTCACATTGACGACCAGGACGCCGCCCTCAGTCTCGTGCCAAACGATGCCCTCAAGTGTGACCGAGGTGCCCGGCTCGCAGGGACCCAGACAGTCCGGCTCCGTGATGGTGCCGACGGAGGTGCCAATGCATATGTCGACCATCTCTTTGCCGGAACTGTTATTGTTGTTATTGTTATTATTGGCGCCATGCTCGCTATGCTTGGCACGTTTAGCTGGCGGGGATTTTGAGTCCGCATCGTCCGCTGAGGCTGCGCTACCGGCAGGCACGGAAATGGTGTGATGCATTGTCGCTGAGATCATGCCGGGGGCCATTAGTTTTGCCTGTGCAGCAGCGGCTGCTTTGCTGTCCGGCCCGCTGCCCGTGCTGTTGTTGCCGGAATTGTTGCTTACACTACCACCGGAACCACCGCTCTGGCCACTTGCATAGCTGGAGGCGGCCGCAGCGGCCAGTTGTGCGGCAATGTGTGAGGATATTTTGATGCCACTACCGGTCTCTTTGCCTGGTGGACCCGGCGCATTGGCACCACCCGTACCGCCGCTCGAGCCACTGTTACCGGACTGGGCGGCGGAGGCCACGCCAGCTACTGTTGTGGCTGCCAACAACGAGGCGGATACCATGGCCGCTGGTGAGCCCGCTGAAGGTGTAAAAACGCCCGGTGGTACTCCGGCTGACATGGCAGAGGCGGAGGATGCGTTGCCACTGCCGCTGCCACCACTGGAATTGGACATACGCTGCTGCAGGGATGCATGTTCGCTGGCGTTGGCGCGACGTATGCAGGCATGATGCGAACAGGGAGTCGCACCACTGGAACCACCACCCATGTCGCCATTGCACTGACAGCCACCACCAGCACCATTGCCAGTGGCACTCTTTTCCGGCGTATCTTTCTCTCCGGCCGCTGAGGCGGCAGACTTGTCCACAGACATGCGATTGGAATGTGCATTCTTATCCTTAGTCTTTTCACGTCGATGTCCGGAGCTACCCCGTTTGGTGCCCTGTGGCGTGGATTGCGTGCTGTTGCTGCTGGAACCGCTCCCGCCACCGCCACCGCTGCTTCCATGTGAATTATTTTGACTGCTGCTACTGTTGCTGCTATTGTTGCTGCCGGCACTCGAATTATTTAAGTGCTTCTTGCTGCTGGAACCACTGCCGCTCCCACCGCCGCCGCCACCACTGGAGGTATTGCCGGTTGCTGTTAACGAGCTGTTCGATGCGAGGGAAGACGCATTGGAGCTGCCATCCTCGATGGCAGAGTTTCCGATGGCACCATTTTGCTGATCGGTGGCTTTGACAATCTCATGCTTAGCCTCGGAACTTTTTGTGCCGGGCTTGGTGCGTTTGATCTTCATTTTAAGTCCTTTATCTAGCGTGGCTTGATGATCAATGGACATTTTTGCGCTCAATTTACCACTGGAGCTGCCGCCTTGCGAACTCTGGTTACTGGTGGTTCCTATGCCGCTACTGGCGCCGCTAGAACCACCCCCGCTGCTGCTACTGTTGTTGCTGTTGCTACTGTTGCCGCCGCTGCCGATGCCCGTTTGCGAGGACATGCCGCCAGCGGAAAATTTCGCTTGATGACCACCAGTGCCACCAGTGGACGTGCCGCTGCTGTTGCCACTACAGGCGCTGTTGGTTGCCTGTGCAGAGGAGCTGTTGTTGTTGCTGCTATTGTTTGACGAGGGGCAAGACGATACCAAATTGCCACCTTTAGAAAAGCCCGCAAATGTCGATGAGGACAAGGTGCTTCCAGTTGTCAGAGACGATGAGGCAGAACCAGAGCCTGCGGTTGCAGAGTTGCTTTTACTGCTGCTGCCACCGGCACTGACTGCGCTACTGCTTGTATTGCAGTTGCTGTTGCTGGTGCTGTTATTGTGCGTAGAATTTAGCCCCGGACTATTTAGCTGTGCCACCAGCGCCGATTTAAATCCCTTCGGGTTGTTGCTGCTGTTGGTGTTGCTACTGCTGGCCTGTGACGAGGCGTGATGATGATGGTGGTGATGGTGGTGCTTGCCCGAGGAGGAGCCTTTGTTTGTTGCCACAGCAATGTTGCTGCTGTTGTTGTTGTTGCTGCTGTTGTTGTTGTTGCTGCTGTTGCTGGAGGCTGACGAGCTGGATGAAGAGGAGTTCCCGCTGATGGCGTTGCTGGGGCCGATGGGTTGACGTGTGAACTTAATTGTGGTTGGCGACGTTGCCGACAAATTGCTGTGCAGTGTGGTTTTGTGCGATTTGTGGTGATGCGTTGAGATGCTGATGCTGCTCGTCACTGCCGACGTAGCGGCGACTTTGCTGGCTGATGACGTAGCTGCTGTTGTTGTTGTTGGTATTGATGAGTTATCTGATGCTGTTGCTGCTGGTGCTGTTGTTGTTGCTGCTGTGCTATTTGCCTGTTTAGCATTTATTGCTGTAGGTGTTGTTGTTGCTGTTGCTTGTTGGTTGCCACCACCCGAATTCGCAGTTGCCACTTGCTGCTGCGTTGAGGACTTTTCAATGTCCGCGTCTAAGTCGTCCAACAGCTCTGGTATGCCACCAATGTTCCACTCGTCCTCGTATTCAAAATTCGTATCCTTTGACTCGCTCGAATTAGAACTGCTCGACGATGACGAAGACGACGACGTTGAGTTTGTCGTTGTTGTATTTCCTGTCTTTGTCGAGCCAATTAATTCTGAAGCAGATATAATGCGGGTGGAAGGGTACATAAGAACAAAAACAAAATTAGAGACAATTAAGAAGCAGTTAGCTAGCTTAGCAATGAAGAAGAAAGGCCAGCAGCTGATGTTATAGATATACATATGTACATATGTATAGTGTATATGTAGATATTTATGTGGATCACTTACTTATATGCTTCTTAATCGCGTTCCCTTGCTGATTATTCGTTGCCACTACTGTTGTTGTTGTTGCCGACTGCTGCTGTTGCTGTAAGTTGGCCTTCAATTTATTATTGAAGTTCAACGCGTGATTCGTAGCCGTCGTTGTTGTTGCTGCCGTCCCTGCTGCTGTTACCGCCGCTTTCGATACACTTAAATTAGCTAACAGTTTATTATTCTTAATATTGCTTTCCGTTGCTACGTTGCTGCTATTCTGGGCCACCTGCAAATGATGTGCAAGGACATAGATAAGCAAAGGAGGATCATTTAGTAAAAAAAAAATAAATGTAGTTTACAGTAAAAATAATTTTTATCTTACATATGTATATGTACGTATGTATGTATGTACCATAGACTAATTACGAGCTGATCAAAAAATCGTTCTTGTCCTTTCCCCCTTCACATTTTTTTTCTTCAATTACCTTTTCAACTTTCTTTTCCATTCCATAACAATTGCTTTCAATAGAATTTGCCTCCCCTAGAGTGCAAACTACATAAATCAAGCGATTGAGTAATAAGTTTTGTATTTCACTTTTGCTTGCAAAATCATTATTAAAAATAAATCTAAATTGTACCAAATAATAATAATAAATGAAATTTATAAAATTGTACGCGTAAACTAACAAGCGGTCGGCGTCCTTTTTAATTTAGCAGCGCGGCGACGCAGATGAGACTGAAGAAAAGACGAAGAGCGAGCAACCACCTTTTTCGGCACACACACACACACATACACATGCGAGCCCGTATGTATGTAGAGAGTAAGAGAGCGGGAGATGCAGAGGCAGACAAATAAACAACAAGCCAGCTCTTCTCATTTTACAATGCAAATGGTGTTGGTAAACGCGCAAAAGAAGTTTTAACTAAAATAAAGTACAATTTGTTTGTTGTCGCGCAAAACATCAATTGTAGTGAGCGGCAAATGCAATAAATCAAATTTGAATGAATTTATAACCAGCAATGTTGTCATAAAAAAACAACAAAGACAACTAATTTTTTTAGCTTATCGGTTTTTGCTTCTTATCACGTTGCAAAGTCTAGTGGCCACTTGAAATTTATGAAAAAAAAAAATTTAAAACAGATGACAGTAAAACAATTATAGTCATAAATTGTTATGAATTAAGCTGCAATCGTACATTAATACGGCATGTGTATAACTGTATATCTGTATGTATATTCATGTTTATACATATATGTATGTATGTATATGTACATAAGATGTATGTATATTCTGCTGTACTCCACCACAAACAATAGAATAAATATGCCAAGGCCATTAATCTATGTATGTATGTATGTACATACACACATACATATGTGTGGATACATATACATGCATACATATTTATAAGGAATACTCTACAGATGACGAATCGAAAGAGTTATCTGTCTTGCTATGTTTAGTAACTTTCTCATTTATTATATTTGTTTCTCCAGATCTCTAGTAGGTTTGCATCAGTAAAATAATAAATGCACAATCTAAACAGATTGGCAGAATTTAGAATTAGGAAACATAGGATGAACCTTTTTCTCACTTCTCTACCCTCTCTACCTGCTAAAACAATATGCGCATGTATGTATGTATGTGTGTATTCATTCAAATGCGTATGAGACACACATACATACATACATACATATGTATGTACATGCATTACTTACATAACTACTATTTATTTTTAAAGAAACTAAAAAATAATAATTGTTTTAAGAACTTCAAAGAAAGTAGGCCCTTCGATCTTTCCTAGTAAATTATTGGAAGGTCTTTTGTCATTATTATGGATGTACATAGTATGTGCAACTGTATGAAAAATATAGACTGCTTTCTTATCAAATATGGAAAAAGTTTCATATGTGTATAGACATTTTAAAGAAGCCTATTTTGAGAAACTTAAGCGGACAGACAAAATCTGGCCAATGTAATGCCTCCTTTAATTTTAACCGGTACGACATAGTTCACATAAATGCACGCAAAATATTGGACAGTTATCTACATTATACTGAATAGTATAGTATATGTATGTAAGAATGTCGATGATAAGTGAAAAGCCGTAACATTACTACTAACATTATACTAAGTATTAATTAATGTCTTTATATTTGGCTCCCGCTCAAAACTACTTTAAGGCCAATTTTGATTAAATATATATAATTTCCAAACGTTAACAAAAATGTAACACAACTATTTTCAAGGTGGTTGACATATTTTAGAGAGGTTGGAGAGTGAGAATCTAATTTCTACTGTTAATCTCTTGAGTTCAAGTGCTCGTAGAATTTTGGGACACCTACTATAAGTTACACTAATATGTATAGTACATAATTGGGTGAAAATTTGATGCGTTACCTTATTCGGGTGGTGGCTAGTGTTCGCCTCGCTACGTCTCATTGACTCCATGCAGACGCAAACGATCGGGCCACCGCACTGCGCAGGCCCAAAGTGCTACTAATAGTGCCTAGGAACGTCGTTCTGCTGCTGGTTGGGATTCTTATTCTGGACGCAGCGTTGAAGGCGGTGATGTTCTTGTTTTTAATGTAGTTCTGGCAATTGTTGTAAATGCGTTGCTGGCCTGGTTGTCGACCTGTCGATGTACTTGTATCCAGGCAACGACGGCAAGAGACACAGGGCCTCGGCCCTCGGGCCAAACTGTTCATTTTCAAAACTGTAAGAGAGAGAGAGAGAGAGAGGGAAGAAAATAAACACAAGTTCTAATTAACATGCAATTGAAACTGAAGAATGTGGGACAAGTACGTGCTAAAAATAAATACAGAGTTTGCGACACTCGGAACAGAAATGCGTTCAAGTGGTGGTCTGGTCTGGCCCGGCCTGGCCTTTAGAGATTGCGTTCCATTATCGCTCAACGCATGGAATATTAGATGATGACGACAACGACACTCGAGCGCAATCGGCAATATTCCAATCAAATCAGAGAGCAAAAAAATGGGGAAAAAATTAAAAACTGCATGGCAGGCCACTTCACGTACATTAACGGCTTTATAATTGAAACGCTTTTGCAATTTAGCGATAGGGCGACAATGGTATGACCCACTGCAGTGAGTGAAAAATATGATTTACACAAACCACACACACATATATGTATGTATGTACATATGTATGTATGTCTGTACATAGGTATAGTCTTGTGCGTGTGTGTAAGCACGGTAGCAAATATGTACTGATAAGATATCATCGCAATTGCTACCGCGTAACGACGGACTCGCCTATTTCACAGACAATTCTACAGGTACACACATACATATATGTATGTACATACATATGCATAGTATGTATGTTTGTGCAGGTATTTGCCGCAGTCGCATTTACACAAATTGCCGTTGGCAAATGACGCATGACATCATCACCATCACCATCACCATCCCCCTAAACATCTTTATTAGGAGCAGCTGCCATCATCGCCATATCTTGCAGGTCAGGGTGCTGAGCTTGTTAGTTGAACCACAGACCCGCTGGCCGTAACATAATCAAGCCGTTTTGCCACATCAAACAATAATAAAGAATACATAAGTACATACATAATGTAAGTGTATGTGTGTATATTAACTTGCCTTTACATATAGTAATACTAAAGAAACAAATTTCTTAGCGGCTCATTATCATTTGGTTCTTGGCTTAATACGCTTTGCTTGGTATTTGCGAAACATTAATGCATGGCTTACAAGCACATTTAAATATAAGTAGTTATACACCACCAGACACTTAAATAGTTACAGCTCCAAACTAACTAGAATTACGTTTTTATAGTGAGTGAGCAGACAATGTTGAATTGAAATTTATTGGAAGGCAAATTTCAAACATCTGTTTATATTATACTACTTATCTTAATATTCCGCTATCAATTTTAGATGAAACTCAAGTTTGTATTAAGTATACATTTTAGATAAGAATCCTTGCTTTTTGTATGCAACGCATTTAAACGACGAGACAATTCGACAATGTTCTTCTTTTCTTCTAATTTTTCTTATCGATGGAAGTTTTTGTTCTTGTTGAAAATACATTTAAGTCTTGTCGCTTAAATAAATTAAAAGCTAATGCTGCAAAAAGAACTACCTAATCCTTAAATGATTAAGTTTCGATTTTTCGATCAATTGGTGGGCATATGTATTTAACTAATACTATAGTGTGAATCTATTTAAGTGCCTGCCACTGTTACGAGACGCATTATTGAAACATTTTTCCAGATATGATTAGATATACGAAAGCAGGAAAATAATTCGAAACATGTTCCTTGAATACCCAATTTTTTTCGCTACAGCTGCCAGTGCGCCTATTTTGAAAAATATAACAGATTGTTGCGAGGTACTATAGAACTTAAGATACATGTATCTTTTTTAGCAAAACAGTTGTTAATATTAAGCGTGATATCTGTGACGATCGTTCCAATGGCAGTTATATACATTTTTTTTTCTTTATTTAGACTTGTTATTAATTAAATAAATAGAAAACCACCTTCAAACCAATTTCAAGGATGGTGAATTTTAGAATCTATTAAATATTACAATTATATATTTTTGTTGCGTGGGAACTCTAGTCGACTTACTTGTAGTCCCAGATCTTTGCTGGAACCTACATTCCTCATAGATAGTTGTTTAGTGCGTGATTTGGAAAGATTTTTGCATGAAAATAAATATAAGAATTTACGTTGGAAATGCAAATTTATGGATATAATGATGTCGGGGATGTGGTCAACATTCTAAATTCATAAGAATAAGAATCTACGTTGAAATGCGATTTTATGCATCCAATTATGGTTCTTCTAAAGACAACATTAGTTTCCATTACAGCTGTTGAAAAAGCAAGCTTTCCGGAAATAAAGTCACAATAGGGGAACATTTAAGTTTTTGATTTTAAATTTGCGCGTGTTGTTTGGCATAAACGTAGTAATAGCTCCATAGTACATACATATCTCTGTAGGTGTGTTCAGCACAAACCGTGCATTAACATTAAATATGTATAGTATGTATGTATATAATGAGCATGTACATACATACATAATTGTTAATTGCTAGACAATTTTGTAGAGTGAGCCTCCTTCTCCTCCTCTTGGGTTATTTACGTTATTTAACAGCCGAAGCAACAAATACAACAATAACAACAACAACAACGACTACTGCTATAATATGTCAGCAGAAAAGCTTAATTGATGGATCTGTTGTGTGTATTTTGTTTGGTTGGTTGATTTTATTTTAATGCCCCAGCGGCTACAAAACTGTGGTGTGTGTGTGTGTGTGTGCGTCTGTGTGGAGCGATTTATGATAATTAAATGACAACCGCACATTTGCATGCAAACAAACCCACGCGTTTAAATATGTAAATGAGTATCGTGTGTGTGTGTATTGGTGTGTGGGCTGAATGCTGTCTTTTGTAAAATTTATCAATTCACGTTCATGTTTCAATATGGGGATTTAATTAATTGAGTTGTAGTTGTCGGCCTAACGAGCTTGCTCATTGTTTTACACATCGTGTTTAAATATAAATATCTACATATGTATGTACATATATATATATATATATATATATATATAAGGACATTGGTAAGTACATATACATACATACATATATGTATGTACATATGTACATTAATATATATCGCATGTGTATGTTTGTTTTTGTGCATATTTGTGTACATTTTAAATGCATATTATTGTTTATTGTCAATCAGCATCATTTATTTTTATTTCATTAATTTTTCAGTTTGTTTATTTGTTTTTGCTGCTTGGCTTTCGAAATGTATTTTTAATTTGCATGGCTAGCAAAAAATGTTATTTAAAAAGCACTTTTCATTTGGTGTACTTTTAAATAAACATTTATTTAAACATATTGCCCTGAGGGCGTGAACAACATACTTGTATGAGTGTGAAGATGAAAATGAGCGCTATAATTTAGACAAATCAATAAATTATAGTACGTACTAATAGTTGCCAGCATCGCACTTTTAGCAGAAAATTAAAGGGTGTCCGACAATTTGTTCGATAAACCCCATTCGGGACTGTTGAAAACAGCGAACAATAAATGGGTTTGAAAAACAGTTCCGCAGTTTTATTAACTGCTTAGAGTTCAATACATTCACCAATATTGTTTAAATAAACATAAAAAAATATTAATGGCATTTAAAAGTGGTCTTTATTTTTGTCTAAGAAGACACTAAGTATTTCTTGTTTTTTGAATTATTAGAGTAGAACAGGCAGATTACATTAAAGTTAAAGAAGCATTTTAACCATGTCGCCCGAGAAAAGAATAATTGAACAGGGTATTGGATCAATTAATATTGACAGACACTCTATAAGAACTTTAACACAAAATATTGCTGGACTTAAGAACTTATTCGATTAACTTTTCATTGCGTATTTTCACAAGAGATTTTCATCCTCTTGTTCAGTTGACGTAAGGAATAATACAGAGTACACTGAATTTATATTGAAACAACAGCAAGTGAGTGCCAGTTTATTTAATGACACCTTTGCCAGCATTAATCGCCAAAATTGTCGCACTTGAAGCTTAGCAGATCAAGGGGAATTACTTCAAAATGAAATCCATTGAAAAAGTGACACATTATTTGAATAATCCCATTAATGCATAACATAAATCGGACTTTTTGAAAGGAAATTGCCATATATGGATGTGTTTTAAAAAGCGGTTTAAAAAGCAAATCCTCGCCTTCTCTATGGATGAATGGTCCCCACACATCCTAAACTACTCGAAAATCAACATTAGCTGTTTTATGACTTTTGGGACACCCTTTACATAAAAAATGGCATCTCGGACTGAAGAGGTAAAACGAAAACAACAATACCAAGACTGAGAATATGCGAGCATTCACGGCTCTTTTTCCATTCAAGTAGGCGCTGTGTTGCCTGCTTTTAAATTGGGTTTATGGTCAGATATATCTTTAGAGCTTCACTTATGTGGTGGTTGCTGTTGCTGTTGTTATTGTTATTGGCTCTTGTTATGGTCGCCGCTCCATCCTCCCCTTGTTCGGCCTGTCCGCACGTACTAAACATCACAAGCAGCAGAAGAGCAGGGACGGCATCATTGAAAATAAGAGGAAGACAAGTTCAAGATTTACGACAATGCCGACATCGTCATCATCTTTGATGTTGTTGCTGTGTTGTAGTACAAGATCGATCCGTGCTCCTCTCTTGCCAAATGAACGCCTCTGGGGAGTTGCCAGCGCGCTGCTATTAGCGGTCGGGCGGCTGTCCAGACGTCCCCAGCTTGTTGGCTTGTCGCAACCACAACAAAGAGGCTGGCCAGGTCGGGCCCGCCAGCCAGGCAATGGCAGGCAGGCAGGCAGGCAGTCAGGCAATCAGAAGGAAGACTGCCAGTTGACTGTGAACCTCTTAAGCTCTGCCAACATCGCCTGCACCACCACCACCACCACCACCATCATCGTCATTGCCACTACCACTTAAATCCCACACATAAAATTGAGTTTCGCTAATAATTTTCAGTCCTTCCCCCCACATTTCAGTTTGATTTGCTTCGAGTCGCGATAATTTGATTTTCAGGCCGGACTTATCGTTATACAAACATACATACATAAATATGTATATATACAAGTATATACATATATATACATATGTATATGTATGCGTGTGTACTCGTATATAAATATGGGAGGTGTTACGGTGTGTGGTTGCGGTGGCGGTGGCGGTTTTGTTCACTCGTTGCCAGCGGCATTTTGGCATTTTGTGCGTTCAATTAAATTAAATGCAACCGTCCATTTGTAGAAATGTGTGTGCTAGCTGCTACGGATTTGAGTGCCGATCATGCCCACTCGCTTGCACTCACACACATACCCACAAAACACTCAGCGGGGCACAAACGAGCCACTTGAGCCACACTGGTCTGGCGTTTGTTGCGTCTGGCAATCACTCTCAGTCGACAAGTCATTCAATTTTGTATTCAATATCGATCATTGAATGGTTAAAGTGCCGCAATGGCAATCACCCTAGAAGTGCTGCCTGCGGGCAGCACCACCGCCACCGCCATCATCGCAGCCACCGCTGACACCGCTGCCGTTGGCAAAACTATTCATACGCATATACAGTAAATTTGTAGTATGATGAACTTTCCATCAAAGCGCTTTCAGATGCAATTTTTTACCACACATTTAACCATATGTAAGGCCAGCAAAAAATGTTAAAAACACTTTTAATTTGGTGTACTTTTAAATAAACATTTATTTAAACATATTCATACACATATACAGTAAATTTGTAGTATGATGAACTTTCCATCAAAGCGCTGTCATTTGCAATTTTTTACAATACTATATTTGCAAATAATTTATTTCAAAAACACTTTTAATTTGGTGTACTTTTAAATAAACATTTATTTAAAATGAAAATAAAAATGCGCGCTATAATTTAGGCAAATCAATAAATTATAGTATAGTATAGTATGTATTAATAGTTGCCAGTATCGATGCAATTTTTTACCATACTACATAAATTAAATTGGATATTATACTATTTACACCTGTTTTAAATTCAATTAATTTTGATATTAATGTGAGTTTTTTCTCAGGGCCTAAAAATCATATGATGGCCGCATATTAGTTAGGTTTAGCCCTTACATCTATTAGTTTAATCCCTGCTTATAAAGAGAGTTTGCAATTTCAAAAGATACGGTTCTATCTCTGGGGCATCCTTTCCTATGTATAAAGTCATGTGTGTTCTTTAATTTAATACTAATATGAATTACCGTTTCGTTTTTCAAATCGACAAAATAATCGAATGCTTAAAAATGTGATCTGCAAAATGTAACAATAAAGTATTTTGAAGGGAATTTATGAATATATTGAAAATTCGCAGACACACTCACTATTCAAGCAATCAAATATTTAAAATTGCTTTTAAGCAAATTCAGCTGCGGTTTTTAAAAATGTGCACAAATCACTGCACGTTTTGAATGTGGAATTTAAATCGCATTGAAACCATTTCATTCTTTTTAAAGATTTTTATGAATGCAATTTGTTGCCCTAAGTTTTACTATAAAATATATAAAATAAAATTCACTCACAAGCAGTTTATTTGATTAAATGCATGTATTTGTGAAATGTGTTTTATGTACAATTTCACGTTCTCAGAATCCGAATTCACCAATTTTTTTGGGTGATTTGTGAAAATGCAACTTACCTCAGGTTTTTTATAGAGTATTTTAACTGTAAATCAGAGCACGATACTCTTGTGCTTTGTCGGGTTGCCTTTTCTAGCGACCTATTCAATTGATAATGCATAAATTTATGACTTGATTTTCTCCCATACGCTTCATTTTTCTTGTTGTTGTGATTGTTGCTCCGCTATTATTTATTGTATATAATTTGTCGTTGTCATTGCTGTCGCGGTCGTTGTAGAGGGGGAAGTAAGTACGTTGGAACTCCCGCTACTTACACATGTTGAACATTTCAGCTCATGCTCGACTGATTTGTTGTTGCGGCCACAACGAGCGGAGCCGCAGCAATTAATTTCATATTCAAGTTTCGGCTGCTTGAGTGGTGCTCGATTGTGATTTCGATTTGATTGAAATGTAAACTTGTCGAATCACAAATAAAAAGCAAGACAATGGGAAACAACTACAACTAATCGCAATTCACGTGAGCGATATTCGTGCAGAAAGAGTACATATAAATTCATAAGTATAAAAGCTATTGTATAGCATGTTGTTGTAATTAGTTTGCAAACTGATCGTTGAGGACATGTTAAAAATGTAGGTTTTTATTTGTGTAGATCAACAAATATGTAGGAGAGATGTTAACAAGCTCAATTAGATCAAAAATGTGGTCATAATCTACATCGGGAAACAAACGTTACTTTGTATAAAAACAAAGGCTATCCAGTGTTTTAGAGCAGTACGTGTTTATCATAGCTTTTTGTGAGCATTTCTAAATGTATCCCTCTTTAGTTTCTCTCGGCATAGCTGTCCTGCTGTTGTGTGTCCTTTCTGCAGCAGAAGTGAGTAGAAAGTATATGCAATATTCAAAATAGTGCTCTACATCTCGTTTTTTTTTTCGATGCACAGCGCAATTGGGAATACGAACCTAAGTCCATAACTTCGACCTCAGCAGATGAAGAGAAAGTGAAGTTACATTTTCAAATTGATCGAGTAAATCGGGGCGAATATGCCTTAACGGGGAACATTGAGTGGAAATATGATACCAGTGATGATACAATGGTAAGGAATTCGCTTGCTTCTTAGATACAAAGGTATAGAAACAATTTTTTTTTAGGTTGAAATATTGATCTATCGCAGTCCGACAGGTAGCAGTTACGATTATCAGCTAATGCCCTGGTCTATACCCAATCAAAAGTTCTACGAATATCTCAATACCTTCTACAAGGAAGTAATAAATAATTTCGCAAATTGTTCAAATCTGCCGATATATAAGGAAAAATTCGAACCGCCATGGCCCAAGAATAAATATGAATTTAAACGTTGCGAAGTTGCGGGCGAGGGATTGCCAGAAGTTGCGCCCGAGGGATTCTATAAAATAGTTGTCACATTTTCCGGTGAGGTGGTCTGGACCGTCACAACAATTGCTAAAGTTACGACAAAAATGACTTGAATTGTTCAGTTAAATAAAGTGTGCACTAACGCGGGTGACAGGATTCGGATTTGTAGTTTTATATAGGATACGGGGCGTGATAAAAGCGGACTTCCAGGAATTATTGCAGGTAAAAACATTGACAAGCTGCCAGCTGCAACTGAACTTCAGTTTAACCCGCAATCGAGAAGAGATCGAGTGTGAATGTTTGAAATTATTTGGTTAAAAAGTGTTAAGAGACACCAAGCAGACAAAGTAGCAGTCGGCCAGGAGCGGTAAAAATGTCGACGTTATTTGCAATTCGAGTTTCATTACGAAGTGAAAATGCGTGAAACAAGCACCAGGGTAGAGGGGGATAAGACTTGGCTGCTAATTTATCGCGAATTGTTAAAGCAACTGTGCAATGTTGTAGTTGCCACTGCAATTATTGTTGTTGTTGTTGTTGCCATGGCTTTTACTGCTGTTGCTGGTGGCTGTCACTTAATGGCAGCGCCAGTGTCCGTCTGTCAGTCAGTCAGTCAGTCTATCTGTCGCCTTTTTTCTCTCCTACAAACACACACATAATATGCATGCCGACGGTTAATGCAATTTTTATGCGCACCCATTTGGTCTCCACTCGAGTGGACGGCATTCGCAATTTGTATGGCCAACACGCACATGCCACGAAGGCACGGTCGGGACCGGGCCCCAACTTAGCATATTCCTTTTTATCGCAGTGACAATATCAAATTGATAAATCGCATAAAATAATTACCGACAGTCAGCTCTCGCCTTCTCGACTGCTCGAAATCGTTGGCCATTGGCAGGCGCGATTTCATTTCATTTGAGGCCACATTACTTCACACCATTGCAAGAGCTAATTAACCAAAAACGCAGCCAATTAGCTTGGCCTAACACCAAGAAATGAAACGAGCAACAACACGCACTGACAACTGGGCAGTCGGGCTGGCAGGCAAACTTAAATAATTGACTAGTCCAAAGTTTTCTTCAGCTTCTGAGCTGAGATTATTAGTTTTCTTAAACCTTCCCTTCCGCTTCATCCGAACAATACAAGTAGTTTTCTTTTTTTACTCTTAGCAGCAGTCGGTCGCATTGCTTTATCAATTATTGACGTATTTTTTCGTCAATCCAAGCATAGTTAAAAACAAAGAAAGAAAAGACATAGAATTCTGATCAAGGATACATCTACTTTGTGAGGTCTGTCTCCCCTTCTTCTATGTGTTACATACATTCTCCATTTAGAGGTTCCTTCCTTTATATTTCCAATGCTCTGACGCAGCAGAAAATCTATCTATATCAGACAGAAGGAAGCATCTCCGACCCCATAAAGTATATTTATTCTAAATCAGTATGACAAGAGAAATCGATCTAGAGATGTCAGTCCGTCCGTCTGTGTGGATGAACGCCTTGATTTCGGAAACGGTTGAGCGTACATTAACCAAACTTGGTAGTCGTAGTCTATACGAGTTTATTTTATTTTATTTTTTTTTTTCCCCTTTCCTCCCCAGTCTACAGAATTTCGGAAATACTGACCTACATGAACAAAACTTTGCACACATCATCTATATGCACTTACTACTACTTTTGTTATAAATGTATAACTTACTGATCGAAGTTTGGCTGGCTACAGGGAATTTCACTGTCGTGCTTGCCCGATTGTAGCGTTCTCTCTTGTTTCAACTAGGAGTTACAAAACTGATTTTTATATTTGTTTGCTAACTTGGCTGGAATTTATAGCTATTTAGTTGTAGATGCAGATGATATTATGTTTACACTTCAATTAAATTGAATGGCATCCATAATTAAATAGCAAAACCCACAATAACCAACGATACTCCAACATATAAAATAAGCTTGTTTAGGCTTAAGTTCAACACATACCGTGTATAGAGCTAAACATGTTTTCGCACCTTCTGGTGGCATCGGCTCCTGCCCTCATAACACTCTTCAGATTTTGTGCAGCCGTAAGTAAAATACTATACAACATACTAATTGCATTAAGAAATCAAAAACGATGATTTTCCTGTTGAAGCGTTCTTGGGATTATGAGCCAAAATCTGTGACGGTAAGCTCCTCCGACGAACAGAAACTGAGAATATCTTTTCGGGTGGATCGAATTAACCGCGGTGAATATGCCCTGTCCGGTGAAATCGACTGGAAGTACGATGTCCAAGATGATACTATGGTAAGATCTGAACAAGCCACATAAAAAAGATCTCAACCCATACATTTTGTTATAACAGATTGAGATCCTGTGTTATCGAAGTAATTCAGGCGGTAACGATTGGAAAATAATGCCGTGGTCGATACCCTACCAAAAATATGAAGATTTTGTTAACACGTTCTATAAAGAAATGGTTACAAAAAGCATTGGACATTGTACAAATATGCCTCAATACGAGAAAAAATATCAGCCCCCATGGCCGAAAAAGCTTTATGTGTTTGATCACTGTGTGGTTAACGGTGATGGTTTCCCTGAGCATATGGTTGAGGGTTATTACAAAGTAATTATCAATATTACCGGTGAGGTTCATTGGGTACTTACATTTGTGCTCAAGGTGACATCAAAATTGTTTTAATGCCAGTCTTTGTCTGGAACTAATTTCACAAGCAATTTAATAAATGCTTTAAAGCAAATAAGCAAAACCTATATATCATAATATGGTACCAATTATATTGTAAAATAAGTGGCTGGATAGAGTAAAACAGAATCGATTTTACACATCAATATATGTATTTATATAGTCCGAAAGATCTGCTCCATCCTTTATGTTGGAAATTATATTTATACGTACATGAATATACATGAAATAATGTACAAGAGTATATTAGGTTTGCGGGAGGTGAAAAATGTAACAGGCAGAAGGCAGACCCCACAAAGTGTATATATTCTTGATCAGCGTGACAAGACAAGTCGATCTAGCCCTGTCTGTCTGTCCGTCTGTCAGTCTGCCCGTCCGTATGAACACCTGGGTCTCAGAGACTATAAGAGCTAGAGATACAAAATTTTGAACAAAGATGCCTTGTGTGTACGCTGTGCAAGATTGTTTTATTTTTTTAATTTCCCCCCACTTCCCCCCTATGGAGGATTTCCCGATTTTCCGTTCGTATAATTTCTTATATCTCGGAGACTATAAGACCTAGGGACACAAAATCCCAGATGCCTAATGTGAATACGCAGAAAATGTGTATTTTGGAATTTCCCTCCATCCGACTTTAGCTTCTCTATTTGTTGCTTCTGCTAGAGGCGCATATAATAGAGTGCCGGAAGTTTGGCTAGGTACAGGGTATTGTCGAGCTTACTCGACTGTAGCGTTCTCTCTTGTTATAGCCTGTACTAAAAGGGTAAAAGGCTATACTAGTTTTGTGCAAATGTATGTAAAACACAGAAGGAGGCGTGGCAGACCCCACAAAGTATATATATTATTGATGAGGATGGCAAGAAGAGTCGTCTGTCCGTCCGTTTGTATGAACGCAAGGATCTCAGAATGTATAAGAACTAGAATAACCAAATTTGGTATCTAGATTCTTTAGTTGAGCATGCTCGACATCGGCAAAAGCTATGAAGCTTTTGGGCTCAAGGATCCTATCATAGTGAAGGTGCCCATTAAGAAGGGATTTTGGAAAATTCGAGCTCCAAAGGGGGAAAAGAGCTCCAAAGTTTGTTTCAAAATTCTGCATTTCTGCACCGATCAACTTTAAATTTGATTTTGATAATATATAAAATACAAACAAAACTGCATACTTAGATTTTCGAAAACAAAATGTGAGACACTAATGTGTGAATACATACATATGTACAAATCTATGTACATGCACACATCTATGTATATATGTATGCTCATTCGTCTTGCACTGACAGAGCAAGAAATGTTTATTAATTAAAAATTATTTAACATTTTTAAAAGTAATTTTTTCTTTGTTTACTACATTTGGCATTACGGTTTTCATTAGTATCAACATACATATGTACATATGTATGCCTGTGTACGTACATACTTATGTTACTAGTACATGTTTGTATATGATTTGTTCTAATTGATCTCAATAAATTATAAGATGTTATTATTTAAATTTTCTGTTAATTGCATTCAAACTTCGATGGAATTATTGATTGTATCGACGGATTCAACTATCGATAGTTTTGATGCTCCAACACATAGAGCATCCGACACATGCCCACCTCTGGCATCTCAGCTGATCGCATATTTACAGCGACTTACCGTTTTAGTGTTAGCTAACAACGCTACAAATATACTCTGAACAAATCTAAGAGTCATTTATCGTTAAGCCTATTTTGTGAGTTTATTCATGCGATATACAAAAGCAGAAACACACCTTTTACATTCACAACAATCATATTTGGAATTTGGAAAATTTAATACATACTTATATATGTATGTATGTATATAGGCGGATAACGCCTGCATGAAAAATTTAAATGTATGTACATATCAGCGTTGCCGAACGCTCCAATTTTGGCGGGACGTCCCGATTTATAAATCAAAATTAAATGTCCAGCGTCGGACTTTTCGGGGATAACTCGACCGTGAACTCTTTAAAAAACTTTAGAGTGCGTCGAAAGAAGAATATCATATAGTAATTAAACTTATAATTTTAAGCACATTCTACTTAGCCCAGCAAAGACGGGCAAGACCTGCTAGTATTCTATATTTAATTAATTAATTTAATTTTTTTAAATAATTTTTTTTTATTTTCCTTTTTTTTTGTAGAGTATTTTACTGTCGGGCGTTCTATCTTGTTGAATAGTATGTAGTTACAAAACTGATCATTAAAATTGACATTAGTTTAAGCGACTGGACATGACTATAATTTACAGCTATTTAGTTGTAGATGCAGATGATATTATGTTTACACTTCAATTAAATTGAATGGCACCAATAATTAAATAGCAAAACCCACAATAACCAACGCTACTCCAGCATATAAAAGAAACTATTTCTGGGTTAGGTTGAACACATACCCTAGATAGGCTTAAACATGTTTTCGCACCTTCTGGTGGCATCGGGTGCTGCCCTCATCGTACTTTGCGGAATTTGTGCAGCAGAAGTAAGTTAAATACAATACACTACTTGCATTGGGAAATCAAAAATTTATGATTTTCTAAATAAAGCGCTCTTGGGAATATGAGCCAAAATCTGTGACGGGAAGCTCCTCCGACGAAGAGAAATTGAAATTATCGTTTCGGGTGGATCGAATCAAACGTGGTGAATACGCCATGTCCGGTGAAATCGACTGGAATTACGATGTCGGAGATGACACTATGGTAAGTTGAAGGAGACACACTCCGGCTGCAAAAATGTCGATCTGAACAAACCACATAAAAAATATCTTAACCCATCAATTTCGTTATAATAGATTGAAGTACTGTGCTATCGAAGTTATACAGGCGGTAACGATTGGAAAATAATGCCGTGGTCGATGCCCTACCAAAAATTTGAAAATTTCGTTAACACGTTCTACAAAGATATAGTTATAAAAAACTTTGGACATTGCACAAATTTGCCTCGATACGAGAAAAAATATCAGCCTCCATGGCCGAAGAAGCTTTATGTGTTTGATCGCTGTGTGATGAATGGTGATGGTTTTCCTGATCATGTGCTTGAGGGTTATTACAAAGTAATTGTCAATTTTACCGGTGAGGTTCATTGGGTACTCACAGCTGTGGCCAAAGTGACAACAAAATTGTATTAATGTCAGTCTTTGTCTGGAACTAATTAAGCAAGAAATTTAATTAATTCAACGTTAGAAAGAAAAAAATATATATCAGATTAAGCTGCCAATCATATTGGAAAATAGGTGGCTGGATAGAGCAAAATAGAAAGTACTATAAAGAAGATAAAAGCATTTTCCACAACTCCCATAGTTCTTTGAATTTAAATTTGGTAATTCCATCCAGTTAGAGATGTGTCTATGTGCCAAGTTTCATCATGATAGGTCAATTTGAAAAGAAGTTATAGCTTAAATGTAATCTCTGCCCGCAGCTGTTGTTGTTGCTGCTGCTTTGACTTAATTGTGTAGTGCACACATATACGCACACAAACACGCATGGACACGAATCTGATGTGAATGAATGCTGTTGAAACTGTACATTAACACTTATGTATGCATGTTAGGAATATTTTTATTTAATTTAATTTTATTATTATTATTATTATTATGTGGCATGAACAACCCTATTGGGTGTCTTCAGTCTTCAGTCACTTGGTCCTTCCAACATATGGAATTTCTTCTTCCATCCTAGCCATCGAAGTCTCATCGTATTCATACACCTGACTCGTCAGTGTCACCGAACAGCTCATACACCTCATCGTTCCATCTAATACGGTATGTATGGCCAACGCAAATAGGACCGAAGATCTTGAGGAGAATTTTCCTCTCGAACACCCCAAGAACAGCTGTATCTGATTGTAGATATAAGATATAAGAGCACCGGAAGGATTAGTGTCTTGTAGAATGCTATTTTCGTCAGAGAGCTCTACTGTTCAATTGCCTACCACCTGTTAGCAACGATTATTCGCCGGTTAAAACCCAGGCTAATCATTTGATTTAATTTGATTAATTTACTTATTTTTATACCCTGTACCCAAAGGGTAAAAAGGGTATATTAGTTTTGTGCGAGTGTAAATGTAACACACAGAAGGAGGCATGGCAGACCCCACAAAGTATATATATTCTTGATCAGCATGACAAGCCGAGTCGATATAGCCATGTCCGTCTGTCTGTATGAACGCAAGGATCTCAGAAACTATAAGAGCTAGAATAACCAAATTTGGTATACAGATTCTCCTGAGCCCGAGAAAGGACGAGTTTGTTCATTTTTCCCGATGCACCCCCCCCACTCACCCCCTATTAACGATTTTCTATAACTCCCGTAATTCTTGGATTTTAAACTAAAATTCAGTTAGAAATTATATATCCGTATACCAAGTTTCATTATGATAGGTTGATCAGAAAGAAAGTTATAGCCACATAACCATGCCCAATGCACACGTACATACATATGTATAATTACACAAACACGCATAGGTACGATTCTGATGTAAATATAAATATATGTATGCATGTATGGAATTTTTTAATTAATTTATGAAATTAATTAATTAATTAAATTTAATTAATTAATTAAATTTAATTTATTTATTTTTTGTGGGGTGGTACAGGGTATTTAAGAGTTGAGCCTGCTCGACTTTAGCATTCCTTTCTTGTTCTTTTTAAATTAATTAAAAATTAAAACAAAATTTTTTATTTTTTGTGGGAGGATATTTAAGAGTTGAGTCCGCTCGACTCTAGCATTATATTATTGTTCCACTTATATTCATATTACATTCAATTTTTCAATTCAATATATTCACTTTTCTTTAAACACTATGATTTCACAAGTGAGTTAGAGATATCTTAATGTTAAGAGTACAGACAGCTTAGCCTTTTTTACTTATTTAAACAAAATGGAGAAATATAAAAAGTAAAACAACAATTGACATTGTAAAGCGGGAGAAACTATAAAAAAAAAACAAGAGACCAATCTCGACAGTGAAATATCCTGTACCCAGACAAACACCGGACTCTGAGTTACATATATGGGAATCTAGCAGATGCAAAAGAAGATGAAGAGCGAACTTGAAGCTGCAGTTTGCAGGCGTAGTACTGGAGAGAAATTATTTCGCTAATTCCAAGAAAAAAGTTAAAATTTAACGGCTCGGATGAAACAAAAGTAGATAATTGCATATAGATTATGTTTGCAAAGTTTGGTTTATGTAGATTGTCAAATGTAGACAGTAATGAAAAAAAGAGAAGACGGGGAGAAGACGTATAGACTAGGGAATAAGAGTACAGCGTACACAAATTTATCGGAAGCTATTCTTTTGGATCTAAAGTACCACTACTTTGAAGTAATTCAATTCATTATATTCAAGTTAGCTAAGAAAGCAATTTTTGAACACTTCACCGGATAAAATACCCTAGAGATCCTCAATTGGATTAAGGTCCGGACTCATTGCTGGCCACTTTAAAACTGGAATATTTTTCTCGTTAAAATATTCGGTGGTCAGCTTGGCACTATGTATTGGCGCATTATCCTGTTGAAATGTCCACTCATCGCCGTATAACTGGTCGCCAAACTCCAGCAAGTCCTCGTCCAATAAGTCAACATACATTTTGGCATTCATTCTTGTGGATATGTGGAAGTCCAATGTGTTTGGACTCTTTCCTTTGTAGCAAAACGCAGCCCATACCATTACCGTCCCACCACCATGACCATGACGCTTATAACAAGTGCGCCGATCCTGTCGCATATCGCGCCAATATTTTTTGCAACTATCAAGACCGTCCAGATTAAACTTTTTTCCAGAATTGGTATCTGTGTGCGAACTCAATACGTGCCTTCATATGGCGAGATAAAAGCTTAGGTTAAGATACCATGATAGTATGTTTAAGACTCGGATTTTCATGGATTATTTGAATAATTCTACTCCTTGTTACATTGAGTCCCAATTGAGCCTTAATCTGTGCACTGCTCATTAAATCCACGGCTTCAAGTCGCTGGATTTGACGTTTGCATCGGGTGTCCATATCAGTTGTTTAATGTTCACTCGGATTTTTGAGGAGATTACTAATAGTATTTTTATGATGATTGCGTTTTTTTAGCTATTTCACCATTTTTGGAACCGCTTTCATGCATTCCAATGATTAATCCTTGCTCATACTCCGAAAGGTTATTTCCACGAGGCATTTTGTACAGTCTAATTCACCAATACTTGTATTTAAGCAAATGCATTTTATAACATACATACTTATATGTTTACTCACGTTTAAATTAAGAATAAATAATTCTTGCAATTAAACCTTTTAAAACCAATTAACGAAGCGGAGCAGCGAGCGAATTGTAAAAGACACATACAATTTTTTATAACCAAATGGCAAAGGCAAGCGTACTTTTTCAGCTAACGGTAAACCATTCTCAAAAATAAAGTGCCGTTACCTAATACGCAGAACACAGCAAAAATAGTTTGTCACATATAATCATTTTACTGAGGCATGTATGTATGTACATATGTACATTATGTACGAAAATTAAGGTTATAAAATCGGTGTTTACAAGTAGTTTATTAGCAGCTTTTTATTGGTGGTTACAAATTGATCAATAAAATTGATATTCGAGTTTACGCTAACTTGGCTGAAATTTACAGCCATTTAGTTGTAAATGCTACTGATATTATATTTACACTTCAATTAAATTGAAAACAAGTAAAAAAGCTAAAGTCGGGTGTCCCGACTTTGAAATACTCTGTACATATGTTTACAATAATTATAGAAAATAAAAAAAATTAAGAAAATAAAAAAAAAAAATTTGATCGATTTTACCTCTCTCGGTATTCGAACTCACGTAAAGGGTGTATAATTGCACATTTACATAGCAATTGCGTCTGTGTGAGTGTATGTATGCCTATGCGCATCAATTCGTGTCTGTGTAAGCATTTTCGCAGTCAACCAAACAGCAACATCAACAACAGCCACGGGCAGCGCTTGAGCAGCGCTGCATCAGCAAATATATTTATGGCTATAACTTCTTGTTTAATCGGTCTATCATAATGAAATTTGGCATACAGACACATAATAACTAACTGGGGGTATTTCCAAAATTTTAGTTCGAAATTCCAAGAATTACGGGAGTTACGATTTGCGGGGGAGAGGGGGGAGGGAGGGGAATTCCAAAATATACATTTTCTGCGTATTCACATAAGGCATCTGGGACTAAAATTTGGTGTTCCTAGGTCTTATAGTCTCCGAGATATAGGCGATTATACGAATGGAAAATCGGGAAAACCCCCATAGGGGGGAAGTGGGGGGGAAAATCAAAAAAATAAAACAAACTCGTATAGAATACACGCATAACGCATCTTCGTGCAAAATTTGGTGTCTCTATCTCTTATAGTCTCTGAGATCCAGGTGTTCATACGGACGGACAGACGGACAGACAGACAGACAGGGCTAGATCGACTCGTCTCGTCATGCTGATCAAGAATATATATACTTTGTGGGGTCTGCCACGCCTCCTTCTGCCTGTTACATTTTTCAGCTCCCGCAAACCTAATATACTCTTGTACATTTCATGTACAGAGTATAATGAGTCCATAATTAACCAGAAAGCCCCCCAATAGCCAACGCTACTTCAACATTTAAAATGAGTTCAACACATACCGTGTATAGAGCTAAACATGATTTCGCACCTTCTGCTGGCATCGGGTGCTGCCCTCATCGTACTTTGCGGAATTTGTGCAGCCGAAGTAAGTTAAATACAATACACTACTTGCATTGGGAAATCAAAAATTTATGATTTTCTAAATAAAGCGCTCTTGGGAATATGAGCCAAAATCTGTGACGGGAAGCTCCACCAACGAAGAGAAACTGAAATTATCGTTTCGGGTGGATCGAATCAAACGAGGTGAATACGCCATGTCCGGTGAAATCGACTGGAATTACGATGTCGGAGATGACACTATGGTAAGTTGAAGGAGACACACTCCGGCTGCAAAAATGTCGATCTGAACAAACCACATAAAAAATATCTTAACCCATAAATTTCGTTATGATAGATTGAAGTACTGTGCTATCGAAGTTATACAGGCGGTAACGATTGGAAAATAATGCCGTGGTCGATGCCCTACCAAAAATTTGAAAATTTCGTTAACACGTTCTACAAAGATATAGTTATAAAAAACTTTGGACATTGCACAAATTTGCCTCGATACGAGAAAAAATATCAGCCCCCATGGCCGAAGAAGCAATATAAGTTTGATCGCTGTGTGATTAATGGTGAAGGTTTCCCTGAACATGCGCCTGACGGTTTTTACAAAGTAGTTGCCAATATTACCGGTGAGGTTCAATGGTTACTTACATTTGTGGTCAAACTGACATCAAAATTGAATTAATGTCAGTCTTTGTTTGGAACTAATTTAGCAAGTAATTTAATAAATGCTATATAGCAAACAAATAAAAACTATACTATATATCTGATTAAAGTGCCAAATCGTATTGGAAATCAAGTGGAGAAGCTAAAGTAGGGTTTCCCGACTTAGAAATACTCTTTACATAGGTGTAGAATAAGTAAACAAATTAAAAGAATTAAGAAAGTTAAAAGAAAAGTAAAAAAAATTAATAAATTTTACCTCCTTTGGTATTCGAACTCACGTAAAGCGTGATTAAGTTCACACTAACATGCAAATGCGTGTCTATACATGTTTGTGTTTGTCTGTTTGTGCATCGTGTGTCTGTGCAAAGAAGCAACAACAACAACAGCTGAGGGTAGGGTACAAATATATACATACATATAGGGCTATAACCCTGTTAAATCAGCCTATCATGATAATACTTAGCATATGGACTCATAATTACTAACTGGACGTATTTGCCGAAAAATACAAAAATGGCAAAATACAAATTCCAAGAATTACGGCAGTTATGGAAAATCACGGATTGCGTTTGAGAGGGGGTGGAGTACACATTTTATTCGTATTATTCGCATATTGCATAGTGCGTATTTACATAGGTGATTATACGAACGGCGTTTCGGAAAAGTCCCATTATCTGGGGAGTGGGGGGAAAATCAAAAAATTTCAACGAACTTGCACAGCGTACAAAAATTTGGTGTCTCCAGCTCTCATAATTTCTGAGATAAAGGTGTTCATGACTCGTCTTGTCATTCTGATCAAGAATATACATAATTTGGGGCGTCTGCCACGCCTCCTTCTGCCAGCTCGTGCAAACATAATATAAGTATTTTTGTACAATTCATACCAAAGTATATAAATTTACCGTGAGCTCTTCTTTTGGATCTAAAGTACAAATAACTTTGAAGTAATTCAACTCTTTATATTCATGTTAGGCATGAAAGCTTAATTTTTGAGATCATTCCTGAACGAATATCAAAGAGTTGTCGATAGACGTGCACATATGTATGTGTGTACGTAAATTCAGGTTATAAAATCGGTGTTTATAATTAGTAGTTACAAAACTGATTATTAAAATTGACATTAGTTTATGATAATATGGCTTGAATTTACAGCTATTTAGTTGTAGATGCAGATGATATTATGTTTACACTTCAATTAAATTGAACGACATCCATAATTAACCAGCAAAACCCACAATCACGAACGCTACTCCAGCATATAAAAGAAGCTATTTCAGGGTTAAGTTGAACACATACCCTTGATAGGCTTAAACATGTTTTCCCACCTTCTGGTGGCATCGGGTGCTGCCTTCATCGTACTTTGCGGAATTTGTGCAGCCGAAGTAAGTTAAATACAATACACTACTTGCATTGGGAAATCAAAAATTTATGATTTTCTAAATAAAGCGCTCTTGGGAATATGAGCCAAAATCTGTGACGGGAACCTCCTCCGACGAAGAGAAACTGAAATTATCGTTTCGGGTGGATCGAGTCAGCCGCGGTGAATACGCCGTGTCCGGTGAAATAAACTGGAATTATGATGTCCATGACGACACTATGGTAAGTTGAAGGTGACACACTCCGGCTGCAAAAATGTCGATCTGAACAAAGCACATAAAAAAAATTCTGAACCTGTAATTTTGTTATAATAGATTGAGGCGCTGTGTTATCGAAGCAATACTGGTGGTAACGATTATAAACTAACGCCATGGTCTATTCCCTATCAAAAACTTGATGATTTCCTTGAAAAGTTCTACGAAAATTTGATCGTAAAAAACGTTGGACATTGCTCAAATATTCCGAAATTTGGGAAAAAATATACGCCCCCATGGCCGAAGAATCGATATATATTTGATCGCTGTGTGATTAATGGTGATGGTTTCCCTGAAACAGCGCCTGACGGTTTTTACAAAGTAGTTGCCAATATTACCGGTGAGGTTCAATGGGTACTTACATTTGTGGTCAAAGTGACAACAAAATTGTTTTAATGCCAGCCTTTGTCTGGATATAATTTAGCAAGCAATTTAATAAATGCAAGAGCAAAAAAAAAAAAAAATTTCTTATAATAGCCCCTATTATCTTGGAAAATAAATAGCTAGAGCCATCCTTCATGTTGGGAACAACTTAAATTTTTAAAGCCTGTACCCAAAACAAATGGGTAAAAGGCTATACTAGTTAGTATCTAGATTCCCCTAAGTCCTAGGCAGGTCGAGTTTTTTTTTTATTCTGATACACCCCTCCACTCCCCGCTATTAGTGATTTTGCAAAACTCCCGTTATTGTAATTGTAATTGCAATTTTTTAAGTCAAATTTGGCAATTTGGCGTTAGTGATTATGTGTCCGTATGCCAAGTTTCATCGTGATAGGTCAATTCGAATGAAAGTTATAGCCATAAATATAATCTCTGCCCCAGCTCTGCTCTCTGTTGTAGCTGCTTTCATTTTTTTCCGTACAGCATACGTACACGCATGGACAGGATTCTGATGTAAATGTATGCTGTTGAAACTGTTGAAACATATGTCTCCATTTATGTATGTATGCATTGAAACTTCTTTTAAAATTTAGTTAAATAATTTAATTTATTTAATTTTAATTATTTTTTAAAATATATTTTTTTTAATTTTTTTTTGTGGAAGCTTGCTTGACTTTAGCTTTCCTTTCATGTTTTCTATTCGAAAAGCCGGTAAAAAGTTCGTAATTATTCAAATTAAACTTATATTTTAAATTTGTAAAAGGTTAACATTTAATTCATGCCAGATTCCTTCACATATTTATCTATATTCATATCACAAAGTATAATGTTGAACTTCGTGTTAATTCAAAGGTAATCCAAAATTGAAAATGCCACAAAAAGCTTGGAAAAAACTTGCTAAAAAGAGTCTGAAATGCAATATTGTTTGCCATTGCAAACGTATGTATTATCTTCAGATGAAAGCATTTTAATGGATGAAACATGGAAGCAAGGCATGAACGAAATAGCTGCAACATGTTACCAAATACACAGCACAGCAGCCAGCGGCCAGGAAGGTAGGGCCTAATAAACAACCGACAACAGAATGCAAAGCTTGTTAAAATTCATGTAATGCATTAACAGAGAACAAGAACCACAAATTACACACAAACATATGGATATATACTCGCACACACACACACACACACACACAAAGGTGCAGAGTAGAGGGTTCACTGTTGCAATGAAAAGGCAATTAAAGTGCCGCCCCAGTCGAGGCTCCGATGTGGCCAACGCAGAGTTGGGAGCACCAATTCACAGACAGTCCAAGACGTAGCCGTAGCCGTAGCTCAGGTCCAAGATTTCTGTCTTTATTGTTGTTGCTGTTAGTGGGCTCTGCTTGCTGCTGCTGCTGCTGTTGTTGTTGTTTTTGTTGTTGATTGTCTCTGTGTGTTTGCAGCAATCAATTGCATGCTTCAATGGACAAATATATAGACAGAGCCAGATAGACAAGCCTGATATGACTCTGCCTTCATTTGAGTGTATTTGTGTTTGTGTGTAAATATCTGTCAAGCATTCGTCGCTGTCACTGTCGTTGTCTTTGTCTTTGTCAGACGGACAAATGGACATCTCTGATGAACGCAACTAGATAAAGCCTTAGCACCATCAAGCAATGTTTGTCCTGCCGCATTTGGCAGCAGACCTCGCCCGAACCCGAGGCTCAGTCATGCTCCATACTCCATACTCCGGCCAGCAATGCGCCTTCTTCATCTGAAGCATTCAAGCGTTATGTTGTGCAAAAAAAAAAAAAAAAAAAAAAAAAAAAAAAAAAAAAAAAAAAAAAACTTGTTAACTTTTTCTTCAAAAGATCTAAGCCATAAAGCCCTCTACTTGTACGCTAGTGCATAAACATAAATGCACTGCAGGAAAAAATATAACATTTTATCAAGAGGAACAATTCCATAGAGCTTGACCATTTTCGTAAAACTAAAGATATTCGGTTATTTAACTTCATTAAAGTTAAGATCTGATTAGTTAACTTTGTATGTATATTTGTTTTAGAATACGAACGACTACTACTGTCTGTTCTTCCCGTTGAGGAGATGCTTTCTTTGCAGAAATTAGATCCTTTCGTGGTATGTTTGGTTCTTCCCATCACTAAGTTTATTTTATTTATTTAATATAGAAGTAGAAAAAGAAACAATCTAAATATAATAATAACAATAAGAAATTAAAGAAACTTATAAATATAAAAAGAATTTAATGACAATCATTTCTTATATACGCGTATTTGCTTTATAGGATTAGTGCGTTTATATTTCAGCATCTGATTTATTTGATTTTTTTTTTTGACATCAACTTCAATATTTCATCTGTCTATGAAACTTCTTCATCTTTCAATCAGACTTTTGTGAGGACCATCCATGTTCTAAGTAATTCCTCAGCCTTAATGTTTTTGCTTAATTAAGGCTGAGTTGACTGCTGATTTCAGTAGTGAGCTTTATCGCCTAAAAAATCGGAGATCGCTATTTTATTCTCGTAGTGCACTTTATAGAGACATTGCTTCTTGTGCGTTAAGTCAATCAAGTTGTTCTAACACATATTGCGACAATTAAACAAACAGAGCCGGCAAATGTTCATTGCATTTACTTAATTACTTATTTTGTAAGCAATTTTGAAGCTCTGGACTAGCATGAATGGCTGCTTTTCGACAATTTCATTCGTTTCACGAAAGAGCTGCTTTATTTATATTTTAAATAGAACTTATTTATTCATAAATACCAATAAAAGATACACTGCCTAAGGTAAATAATAATAGCAGCAGCAGTGAAGTAAAGCTTTGTTTGTGGTTTGCCGAGTCTTTCAATGTATTTGCTCCCAACTTACAAATCTTACAAATACTATATGTTTGTAATAATGATCGAATGCGAATTTGAGGCAGCAATGACACTTTAATAGTTCGTTTTCAACGCTAGAAAATTTCCGGTAATGATGTACTCCTGGAGCTGGTGGTCTGTCTTTCGGAGCCATAATCATCGGCAAATAAAGCTTAATTATTGCAATCAAGCCATTTAACTAGCCAGCTCCTTGGCGTCTTCGGCACATAAGAAATCGTTTAATTATCACTTGGCGACAATTAACAAATTTCTAAAAGGCACAACTACCACTGCCTCAGGTTGCATGAATGTGTGTTTGCTTGTTTGCCGGCCACACCCAAAGCTGCGCAAAGCTCCACACAATCTCGCAGCCCCGCAGCCCCACAGCCTCCATACTCTCCTCCAGCGAGGCATGTTCGCTGACCAAAAGTAATTGCCATAAAATTCTTGCTATGAGCACACGCAAGCAAATGGCTGGCAGCTCGGTTGGCTGCCTGCTTGCTCGCTCGGTCGCACAGTGGAGCATCGTTATTGTTATTGTTTAGTTTTTGCTAGGAGCTTCCCCTCTCGTTGTTGCCATAATAGTTGTCATTATCAGGACGTCGTTGAATCTCACTCAGCTTGGCACAAAGGCTTTCGCCGAAGGCCACCACATAACTGGGACTGATTTCGGTGAGGAGCGCTTCGGGAGATTCAAAAGATAGATCTATGAATCCATCGTCTATCTTGTCACTGTCTATTGTGTCGTATTCGAAAGAGACTATTCTATATCCATTGGATGTGACTTCCACACAGTAGGTTTTTTGTTCGATGGTGGTGAGATTTAAATAGGCTTCATAGGAGCCACATGGCAGGACCTTAGACATGAACATGTCACTAACGAACTCCCGCAACTCCTTGATAACAATTTCAGCTGTTTCGGCAGCATGAAAAAACTGCTCCACTGATTTGGACTCCGCCAGTTTGAAATTGAATGTAACTATAATTTAGTAAGTTGTTTCATTTGTTGATTGAATGCCAAACGTTTGCCTACTACGTTACCAACTCGACCCGTGACAATGTGCAGATCGAGCCAGAACCGACCCAAAGCTGGAGCAAGACCAAGACCAAGACTCAGAGAACGACCAAAGACCGGATGAAGAGTGACTTGGTTTCGCTTGCAGCTATAAACGGCAGCCAGGGCCATAAACAACAAATAATGCGGAGCCCATTCCCCGTTCCTTGCTCCTCCAATACTCCGCTCACTCAACAACATTGCAATCTTGTGGCCCCCCTTCGCTGCATTTGCCAGTTGCCTTTTCATTCCAAGACATTTTTCACAGCGCTCCGTTGCGGCGCTTTCCACTCTTTTACAGTTCAAGTGCTGTGTGCGTCCTCCGGGCCTTTTCACTTTACTTGCCGACGTTGCTGCCGTCACCGCCCTTTGCAGCAGCAACCATCAAATGAAAAAAAAAGAAAAAAAAAAAGGGGGAAGACTTAAGACTTGCTTGCCATAAAAATGCACAGCAATGCCAAGACTGTGGCGGCGGCTCAGATGGCGGCAAAAATGCTTCAACAATTCGCGTTTTGCAGCATTGCGCCTCGCTTCTCCAGTTGATGAAGTTGAACAATTTCAGATACGAGTGGGGACTGAAAACGAGCGAGGCGGGTAGACGATGCGTCGAGCAAGCGGACTATGGGGCAAGTTGAAAGACAGCGGGAGCAAGAATTTAAATTATCTTTGCGGTGAATGGATCAAGTCTCTATAAGGTCTGCGAAATAAGTCACCTTATCAGCATATTTTTCCTAATTAAAATAAAAATCTTTGATATGTTGAAATGATAGTCATGTTTCTTTATGAATTTTTAAAATGATAGTTTAAATTCAGTTTATAAATATTTAAGAAAATTATAAGAAACTCTTTTTATATTAAGTGAAAATTTTAGTTTATAAATATTTAAGAAAATTATAAGCAACTTTTTTTATATTAAGTGAAAATTTTAAGTTATCAATATTTAAGAAAATTATAAAAAACTTTTTTTATATGAAGTGAAAATTTTAGTTTATAAATATTTAAGAAAATTATAAGAAATTTTTTTTTATATTAACTGAAGATTTTAGTTTGTTTCCAATGCCTATACATACATTTCCAATGTACAAATGTTATCATTGAATAGTTTTAGACTAAAACAAATTAACGCGACTACCAATGATGTACAGATTAGGATTACTTGTAATATCGATGCTTTTTAGATTAAATTATTATGATACAGATATTCTCAATTAAAATTTGTGAATATTTTATATTATATTTTCGATGCTGAAAAACGATCAGGTACTGCCAAGTATTGTGGCTATTAAGAGTTTTCAATTGCTATTTTTAACATAAAATTTTCACAAACAAAAAAAACAAAAATTTGTCTGGTAAAGCATAATAAAGTGAAGGGTGGGGTAGAAAATATTACTAAAAATATGTTGTTAAAAGAAAAACACCTAAAGATTTATGCGAGTGTAGTTTTCAACAATTTGCCCCATTGTGGTTGCAATGCAAGGATAGACATCCCGTCGAGCGCTCATTTAGTTGCTTGGCATGACAGCTACTAGATTCCCTCGCCAGCACAACAACGGTGGCAACTTTTGCATGGCTGAGGTAATCAAGATCTGTGCGCATTGAGTGAAAAACTTTTAGCACCAAAACTTTCCACCAACAAAGCAACTTGGCTGTCTGGCAGTTGTTGCGCCCGCGCATCTTAAGGAAATTGCATTTTACATATACGAGCCCATACATAAATACATACTATAGTATGTACACTTTGCATAAATGTTTTCGCAAGCCAAATACTACTGCATTCGACTATCTATATTTGATGAGTTATGCGACATGCCACAACATTTTGTTACCCGCCACAAGTTTGGTGCACAGAAATGGAATTGCTTGGCGCCCGTAGTCGTCCGTCGTCGTCATTGCAATTATTTTTAATTATGCACAGTAGTTTAACCATTTTTTTGGGGTCTGTGTGTGTGTGTAGCGTGGCCAGTTAGCAAAAGGGCCGGAACGAGTCGTTTTGCATTTCAATTTGGCAGTTGCTGTTTCTCTTTTTTCGATTTTTTTTTTTTTTTACGCTAACCATAAATAAAAATTACCAAGCGCAACAACCAACAGAAGGGAATAAAATGCAGTTATCCACTTGGCTGTGAGTAGTGAGGGATTGTAATAGTTGTCTGCAATCAAGAGATGAACAGACAGAGGGCTGGGAGGTGGAGGTTGAGGAACGGACGAAACCACACGGTTTCGGACGCTGAGCAATCAGGCTCTTTCACTTTGCCAGCCTCTGCCTGTCTGCCCATCTGTCTGTCTGTCTGCCTGTCTGTCTGTCTGGTTTGCCTTTCTTTTCGAAAAGATTTATGAGCGCCTCTCGCGCATTAAATTGAATTCAATATTTTGCGCGTTTCGTGTTGCCGTTAAAATGTTTACTGTTAAGCATTTTCACGTTGCGCCAAAATAACCATCCAACGAATGTGTACAAGCTGGCGCAACATGTTGCCAGCAACAGCCACAACACCAACAACGCAACCAGCAGCAACAACTGCAACAACAAATTGTAAACAACGGATTTTTGTTGACAGATGCATTTTATGTTTGTGCATTTTTCTTTTGCTTCTTTCTGTTGCTGTTGCCGTTGCCGTTGCTGTTGCGGTTGTTACTGTTTGCTGTTTGCTGTTTTGTGGTCAGACGACTGTGCCTTGGGGAGCAAATTGATTTTTCCTTTTACCTTTTGCTTGTGTGTGGGCGTTGGTTGCCGTTGAAAGTTTATTTGTTTGAATGCACAAAGGCTGGTGCAGCAACAACAATAAATGAAGCCGTCGCAGCGACCAAATTGGCAATGAATGTGGCACAAACACTCACCTGCAACGATAGAGGAAGAAAGGAAAAAATTCAAATAGGTTTCAGTTATAAAATCCAACAAAAATATAAATAGTGGGGCACAAGTTTCGAGCGAGTAAGTCGACATCGAAAAAGTGTTTAAATTTAGTAATAATTTTAGACTAATTGCCTACAAGTTGAGTGTATCATAGCTTTATCCACATTCGAAATCCAGACCTATAAATAAGGATGACAAACAAACGGATGGACATGGCTGCTTCGACTCAGTCCATAAGACTGCATAAGAATGTACACCTAATTCTGTTTTTACACGGTAGATTGGTTCCAGAAACAACCGTGTAAAAAAAGATATTGATCATATGTAAAAAAAAGGTGATTGGTTCCTTATCTCTAAAGAAATATATATGCATTTTTTTATTTTCAAACCGCGTTTTATCAAAATCGTGTAAAAAAAGACCGTGTAAAAACAGAATTAGGTGTACATAAATTGTACTTCTTCTTTACCAACCCGTAAGAATTTTGAGCCACCAATATGTTGCAAGTTTCGCTCGAACAGTCAAAAGTTTTGATCGAATCATCTGATTATGACTGTAAGGCATAAATTAATTATTTTATAGCCCTGAGTGCATGTTGGCCAACCAGTTGGGTTGGTTGGAAATTTGTTGAACCATATCTTCACACTTCAGAAGGTTTAATGTGTGCCATTAATCATTATATGCCAAGTTATGTTGCTCTAGAAACCATACTTTTCAAAATGCAGGCGTTCACACACAGGTCACACATGAAGACAAAAGACTGCATGGGAAAATAGAAACGACTAATTGAAATCGTCTTACTTTATTCATATTTATATTTTATACTTTTTCTCTAACATAAACAATTCATTTAAAAATTTAGAATTCTATGTAGCTTCGTCGTTTGATTGCTGGATATTTAAAGCACTCAGGTTTTCAGACGCGGTGGCTTAGCTGAAAATTTGACTGACAGACATGCCTTCATCTGTCCAAGCCTCCATATTTCGATTCAGACCATATTTACCAAATGTTGCCGCTCTAGATTATAGAATTTTCGAACTGCAGGCGTTCAGACGAGCTAACAAACATGGCTAGCTCGACCCGTCTCATGTTACTCATCAAAGATACGGTTCTGCCACGCTTCCTTTTGCGTGTTACATATTCATAATAACATTTTCTACATAACAATGGGGAATGAAACAGTTTGACAAGGTATGGCTCGTTTGATTCAGTTGTTAGTCAGTGAGTCCGTCAATCATGCAGGCAGTCAGCCAAGCAAGTTAGCGAAAGGTGGCGCATCTCGCTGAAAATGTTTTTATTTTTTTCATTCGAGTGCACAAGAGTTGTTCGTGTTGTAGATGTTGTTGTTGTTGTTGTTGCACACCCGGCACTACATGGTTTTTTTTACATACAATTTAGTTTTTGCATTTTTTCGTTGCTTTTATTCATGGTTGTTGTTGTTGTTTTTTTTTTTGTTTCGCCAGTCAATTCAATTTGAAGCCATTTAGCATCAATTTGCAGTAATTTGACGTATAAATTATGTCAAATTGCCGAGCAGCTTGTCATTGGGTGTATTTTGTAGCTGTTGCCACAGCTTGTAGTTGTTGTTCCCACTCGCTTGTATCGCTTTTGTATTGTTGTTGTTGCTGTTGCTGTTGTTGCTTTTTGCACCTTTTCATTTCGGTTGAACGAGCAACGACGTCGTCGTCGTTGTCGTCGTCGCTGGCAGATTTGGCCCGCCAGGTATAAACCGAGTCGAACATCGTTCATTGTGTACGATTTTTTCCTTCATTTCTTCCTTGTTTTTTTTTATTATCGTTTTGTTCACCTCCTCCTTGTTTTTTGGCATCATGAGTGTGTGAATTTTATTTTCGGCTGTCGACACAAAAGAATTTCACTTAACAGCCAAACACACACACACACACATACAAAGACCGACGGACAGATAGATATAACGACAGACAGCCAGACAGACATTCACACTTACAGAGGCGCTCACAGAGCTCTTGGCATTGAGTAGAAGAAAAAAAAAAAGGGTCCAAAGAGCTGGCTGGTCGGCGAACCAATACAATTATGTCCATCTGTACGATCTGTCCAATGCGTATAGCGTACTAGCAGTCGACACTAAAAGTGCCCATAAAGCCGATTTATACAGGCAGGGGGGCTGGAGGCAACAACAGAAAAGGGCAGGGGCACGGATGTGTGGCGGGGTGCGCAACAATTTTTACGCTTTTGTGAATTTTAACATTTAATGATATCATCGAAAAGTTCGCTGGAAACATAAAACCTGCGCAACACTAACAACAACTACAACACCAATACACACGAAGAAGTTGTTGGCAGCGCGCTTCTGTAGCTCCAGAGAGATGTAAAGATACTTGTACGTGGAGTGGATTGTCGGCTCAAGCTCTTCCGAACCAATAAAATGCGCAGCAGCTACAATCTGCGCTGCTGACTGTGTGCCATTCCCATTCCCATTACCATTCCCCTCCAGAACAATTTCAGCAGACACGACGATGTGTTAAAGTTTTCTTGTTTTTCTTTCTTTTTTTAAGCTGCCTGTTCCCTTCCTCCAGTCTTCTGCCATCCCCCCCTATCGCTATCCGGATGAGTGCGCGTATCGTAAACTCAGTAGCAAATCAGAGGCGCTACTTTGTCTTTCTCTCTGTATTTAGGAACAACAACAACAACAAGAGTTCAAAACTTCCGCATGCGCCTGTGGGGAAGCATTGAGAAGGAAACATGTCATCATCATTGCCGTCATCCATTTGCCCAACCATCCGACCCCCCTCCACACACAACATGCTCCTTTGCTCCCCACCCTAAATGGCAACAAGACCAAAAAAATTTATGAAGGCATACCAAAATTTCTCCTCTCCGTCTCTTCTCCTCTCCGTCTCTTCTGCTCTCCCCTGATCCACTCACACCAACCGTTTGAGTCTGCAGTACGAATGTGTTTTGTCTGTTTATTTGTTTGTTTTGCTCGCTCGCTTGCCTGCTGCTTGCTTGCTCGCCGAGTTATTTGAAGAATTTCCATTTGCATTTTAATTAAGTGAGAGCGCGTGTGGGGTGGGCAGCTTGTTTTTGGGTGGAAAGGCCGCAAAAGTTTGCCTTTGCGTCTGTGTGTCTGTATGTAGGTGTGTGTGTGTGTGTGCCAATGTGCATTATGATTTTGGGGTAGGCGGCTGGCCGATGGGGCAATGCAGAGCTCTATTCCCTGACCGCTCATCTGTAGTCAACGGAGTAAGTATTTTGATATTAAACTCAAAAACTCTGTTCGCAAACTGAAGCAACGATGGACTATGTGGACTCTAATTCAGAAACAAAGCGTACCAACAACAAACCATTACACTTTGTTAGCAAAATGTTTCTTAGGTATTTTGCTAACAAAGTGTGAGTGTTTGTACATGGATTTATATTTCTTTTGTGGGTTTCCTTCAATTGGGTATGTGTCATATAGAAAATGTAATAATAATTTTTTAGTCAGATAATTGTAATAATATTCTTGTATATCTTGTGAAAAACGTAAGGCATTGGCAGCCCCAAATTCGTGGTCAGAGTTTTCTGGACACAATTTTAAGAAATATTTCCTTAAGCTTAATGTAGAGCATAGCTGAGCAGCTAAACATATTATGGTTTAAGGTCATCTTTTACATTAAAATAATGTTCGGTAGTTAACCCTTAATTGCACAACAACTGCCGGTCAAGTTTCTCAGCTTAGAGACTCATATACATATATACATATGTAGTGCACTTTTATTGTACAAATGTACTTGGCATGTCTAAAGTTAACATTTGTATATTCGAGTGAGTGTTTAAAAACAAAAGCTTAGCATAATGATTCGCAGTTTCCCAATTACCACTTTTATGTGCCAATTTGTCTATATTTAGTTGCAATATTTATACATTTATCTAAAAACTGTTGACAGAATGAAATTAGAACTATTTAAAATTGGCTTTGTCTTTTTCATTAAAATTTAGTGCTGAACACAAAATTGTGAAAGTTTTTGAGATAAGTTTTTTGAAACTAAGGTACGCAGCGTCACTAAAGAGTTGGCACTGCCATATTAGAGGGTTGACAGTTTTGAAATTATTCCCATTGTTGACAGTTTTTAAAATATTACAGTTTGAGAAATTTAAGTACGTATAAAAAATTTTGTTTTTGTTCGTTTTAATGGCTCGTTGTGGTGCAGTTCGTAAAAAAGGCCCTTCTTGCAGTTCTACTAAGAAGGCCACGTGCCAAAGATGCAGCAAAAGTAGTTCTATAAGTTCGTTTAAGGGACGCAATCCTTTTATACTCTTCCTTCACGAGTTTCGCAAGCAGCAGAAGGCTAAAAACTGTGATTTGTCAGCTCCGGAACTAGCCGAGATGGCAGGTCGGAAGTGGCGGTGCATGTCACGAGCTGAAAGACTGCCCTACATTAATGCCGCTAGCAGGAACAATTACATATACAGGTCCAGATGCAAGCAAGTGAATTGGGGCGTCGATTTGCTACGCGAAGCTGTGGGCGGTACGAATACTAAGTTGGAGTTCTTGTACGCACTATCAGAGGGTATTATGCGAATGCGGGACAGTGTGGAGGAAAAGCTGCTAAAAATTAAAGATAAAAATGATGAAGAAGAAGAGGAGGAGGAAAACGAGCGTATATGTGAAAAGATGGACATTGAAAATGAAGAGCAGCCGTGCACAGCAAATGTGAAAATCAAACAGGAGTAAAATTAATATCTGTAAATCATTTCATTTCAAAGTGCAATAAAAATGAGCAGTTTTGTCAGCGATACATTTGTAAGAATTGTTTTAATAGGGGATGCAGTCGTGCTAATAAACTATACTTATGGCATCTAGTGTTACAGTATAAAACATAAATAAACGCGGCTACCAGACCAGGCCGCGATGGTTGTCTGCGTCAACGACGAGTCGACTTTATTATCTGGCAGCAATTATGCATATCATAAAACACTTTAAGCATTAATGAGCGTCAGCAGCAACACGCCAACGTGCCGGCAAGAGGCTGATCTGAACAGCCAGCCGTTCCGAGCGCCACGACACCGCCCAGGCCCAGCCCCAAGCTATAGTCATTTATTCATTCATTCAGTCACTCAGTCACTCACTACCGTCTGCCTGCCTGCCAGCCACTGGGACTGCTTCAGTTTGCCGCGGACCAAGTTGGCGAAGTCAGCATGTTGCCACTTTATTGCCTGCTTTACATTTCTGTTAGCTTAGGCCGCGTCGCCGGCGCACCCCCAACCACTCGCCCAGCCACTACACTATAATGTGGAGATACAAGCTGTGCACATTAGTGTGTGAGTGTGTTTGTGTGCAATCGTGTTATGCTTTGCGGCCAAATTAAAATTCGACTTAATCGTTTAAACATTAAAAAGCAAGCAGAGAGCCAGCCAGCAGCCAAGAGGCAGCTATGGAGTTATAGTCGCCATAGTCTAGGTAAAGCCAACACTACTCTCAACGTCCAATTTGCCCCACAGCCGTTGTCGTTTTCCCTCTTTTATTCATTTTGTTGTTGTGTTTTTTGCATGCGCAGAGCAGCATGCGCACCACCAACAACAACCATCTAGCAATGCCTGGCATATCGCCCTCTCCCTTCCACACCATAAACAAACATGGCTGCTGCTCTTTGGCTTCCCAACTCCAACTTCGCTGGGTGTGTATACATGTACATACATATACGTGAATGTGTATGTATGTGTGTGTGTGTGTTCGTTCATTTCGTTCCGTTGCCTTTTGGCTGCTCGCTGATATTTCCCTACACAACACTAAACTGCAGATAGAGAAAACACACGGAATAAATTTAGCAAAAACGTGCTTCAAATAAATTGATGAGCATCTGCTGAGTTCAAAAATGCCGGATGTTGAAGAAGCTTTAAATTTCGCATCGCTAAGTGTGTGCCAAATGAAAATTTCTTCATTAAAAATTCTTCTGCACCTTTCTGGAAAATGAGAGGACATAAGTGTGAAGAACGTACAAAATATATAAATACTCATTAGAAGAATCCAAATAACAATTCCCTGTCTTTTATTTCAGTCACAAATCTTCCCACTTATCCTCTATCCACTGCAATACTTAAGTTAAAATGTCGAGCTCAACCAAGACAGACCACTATACCATATAGCTGTCAGGGAAACTATATGTTCTTGTATGTAATCTAATTGTCGATTGATGACCAAATATGCTTTTGAGATGTAATAAAACGGATAATGTTGGGTATACGATTCTCTTTAGTAAAACGATGTAGATTTAACTTATTTTTAACTTTTTGCGATTAAGATTTAACTTTTGTTTTTGTAAAAATTGTAATTTCGACCCCTCGAAAAAATTTTAATAATTCAATTTCTAAAAGTTGTCCTCTTTGTCAAAATAAGCCTTGTTGGAGGCGATAAGTAATTTCAAGATTTAATAAAAAATATAAACTTTAAAGAAGAGCTCTTTCATAAAGCTTGTAGGCATTGCAAAAAAGCCTTTCAAGCTTCAAAGAAAGTAAAAAATATAAGTGTGCATTCATGTCCATGATACATGGTATCTCTAAAGTAAGCTTTTTACAAAACGAAACAATCCCATTAAGAGAAATACCTATAGTATAGGGAGATTTTATATAAATAACTATGAATCCAGTGTTCAATCAATTATAGTTTTATAACGCGCATATAAACGTCATAAAATTTAGCCTTATCTGACAATCTGCTTGGTTCATCTTAGTTTTAATATAAAGCACCCCTTTTGAAATACACTTACTATGAAATTATTTAACCGATTTTAAACATGTAATCAAGTTTCTTTCAGTGTATGCTAAGTTAGTCAGTGGAGTCTTCTGCAACTATTTTGCCTGCTCAGATTTGTGAAGCAGTTTTGCTTCACTTCGTAGCCCCAAGGGCGGCACAATTCAAATGTTAATTAAAATTTAAAAGCTTAAACTGTGCAAAATTGTTGCAAAAGTGGCGAAGTGAGCAAGCAAGTGGGGCACAGAAGCCGCCACTGCCACTGTTCGTTGCCAAGGCGAAATGTTGCCCCTCATTCTTCATTTGGCTCTTGGTGGTTGTGGCCGACTACTGATTTATGTGCAACTTCGACGGAGGTTGTTTCTGTTATTCTTGCCTGGGATTTTAATGAAATTAATACGTTTTCCAATTTTCGCCCCATCTGTGGGTTGGCGTTTCCTGTACTTTCAGTTTCGCTCAAGCACTTGCCATTCGTCTTTTATTTAACAAATTAATTGCATTGCTGATTGCTCAAGTGCGAAGTTGAGAAGTGAGATTGGAGTTGGAGCTGAAACTCAAACTGAACCTGAAGTTGGGGCGGACTTGTATTTGTCCTCAGACTGACAACAGACAGCAGTCAGTCAGGCAGTCGTTTAATCATTTAGTCTGTTAGCCACTTGTGTGTAATGGCAAAGCCACAGCCCGCCTTTACAAAGGTGTTGGGTAAATATTTGGCGAGCTATTAAGTGTGCATTTGTTTAAGGGATTTACAAATGCAAGCACTTGTAAAAGTGTAGGGAGCGAAAACAAAAATAAATAAAGCAAGTCGTACATTTTGCAATTAGCTTTGTTACGACTGCGACAAAGCTCAGCCCCTTGTAAATACAATGTGACACAACAGTTCAGGTATGCAAATAAGCTGTGGTTCAATTTGTGAAAAGTACATATGCAAGTCTTCGTAATTCTCCAGCTGATATTAATAATAATTTATATATGTGTATTAATGCATGCAGTGGGTTTCGTAACTAAAGACTACTTGATAGGGTCGATAACTTAGGAACAACGCATATTTAATTTGCTGCAAATAAAATATTTCTTCAAATATCAGAGTTTTCAAATTATAGTGCGTTTCTTGTTCTGCTTAAGGCAAGACTATCCAGAAGTTAAAACCTTATTCTCGATTCCAATTTTCTTATAAATGCAATTTCAATTATTTATAGCCGAATAACTCAAAGCATTGGAATTCAAGCAAATGGTTGTCGTTTTAATAGTTTCGAGTTGATTTTGGAATAAAACTAAAAACTGATCTTTAGATTTTTCAAATTGATGGCATGTTTTGAGCATTGTTTTCTTTTTAATATACGATTCAGAATAAGTTACTTATTCTTTTATTAAAAGGTGTTTGGAAATACTATATGCGCATTAAAATATCAGCTTATGTAAAATAATTGCTTAAACGCAACTCCAGAGTCTTTGTTCTTCGATGTGACAAACAAATAAATAAATTTTGAAAGCCACTTCCACATCTCTTCCGTTGTCAGTTCTATAGTATTCCATGTTTGCAGATCGTATTCTGAGTATTTAATACATTTTTTTTTATCAAAAAAAAAAAAGAATTTCCTACGACAATAATATGGTACTGGCGTTTATTGTAGCAGAGCAATGTTTAGAGTTGCAAGGCCAGTGCGATGTCGTATAATTAAAGCAGTTAGTAATAAAAATTGTTAAGTATTCAACAATAATAAAAACGCAATTTGCGGCATTGTACGTGCTAAAAATTGTAAACTAAACTGCGACCAATAAATGTTAAAAACAATTATTAGCACCATTTTTTGTTCTCCTATTTTTTAGTTGCATTGCACAGAGACAGACAGTCGGACGAACAGATAGACAGACACACACATCTATACTATAGTATGTATGTGTACGTGTATTTAGGTACAGAGTGGCGTAATCAAGCGGCAGCGTCAACGACACAGCCACATTTAACACAAAAGTAATAAACTGTCAACAATATGACCATAAACAGTTGCCTTTGCCGTTGCTGTTGATGTTGGCTTTGCTGCCACTGCCAGCTTCAATCGGGCAGGCAGGCAGGCAGGCAAGCCGGCAAGCCAGCAAGCAGGCAAGCAGTCATTCAGTCAGTTAGTCAACGTGTTTCCATTTCAATTACGGCCTGTGCATGGCCTCTGTTTGCGTTTCGGCTTCAGTGGCAGTCACTTGGCCCGTTCCAAATTCGACGCGCAACGTCACAAAAATTAACGGCTGTGACTGCGACTCCGACGACTACTGCCGTTGCTGTTGCTGTTTCTGTTTCTGTTTCAGTTAATGTTTCTGTTTCTGCCGCAATAAACCGGCCAAATGGCCCGCAAAATACAAAATGCCAATGAAATCAGCAATACAAATTTATTATTTTTATGTGATTTTCGTAAACGTCGACTGCCTGCGAGGCAGCCCACCTGCTGTCACAATGATTAGTTGAACTCTGCTTCCTCGTAGCTCATGTGCGTGTGTGTGTGTGGCATCTTCTCCCCCATTGCAGCTGTTTTGCCAATCACATAATAATTACCCTTATATTGCGCCCGCTCTTGCCAAATTGCAATTGTGTGTTAACATTTTGCATGCTCGCAAAAATGATGAAAACTAATGCGAGGGGCGTGTCGTCGCGCAACACTGGCTGGCAGTGGCAGTGGCGTGCGCGGCACGTTTAGTTCCGACCGTCTGATTTATGCAGATGCGAGGCGAATCGATCATGCCCCGGCACGTTGCACATTGCGAAGCCACGCGGGCACAAGTTGAACAGGTGGGATGAGGTCGGGTAGAGTGGAGTGGCACTGTAAGTTGTCAGCACTAGAGAGTATTCGGCGTCTGTTTTCGCTTTCAATTCCATTTACATTTCGATTTAGCAATTATTATCCATTTTTTTCATTTCATTTCATAATTTTGTTTTATTTTCTGCTTTTATGTCTGTAAGTCATGCAATATGTCGCCGCAAGGCGTCATGGCTACGTTATTGTGATTTTCTCTGCATAATCTATTGTGACATTATCAATCGCTCTATATCAGGCTGT